CTTTAATCGTGAAATAAAGTAACTTTATCGATACACCGGCTGTAGAATATTTAAAGAATTATTTGTAAAGTTTTGTAAGAGTTATTTATTTTATCATATTGGTTTACGACAGCTGCTTTTTGTAAAGATTCAATAGCTGCACTTGATTCTGTGTATAAGTGAATTTATATTGTACATAGTTATAATGCTGTCTTATTTTCCTCGCTTGAGTACTATAAATATTTTGTTAGGTTGTACCAATTAATGATAGATTGTGTTCGGAAAGGGTTTAGTCTTTAAAACAATTTCATCGTAACTAAAGTAGGAAATAATTAAAAAAACTAACACCTGAATACTAGCTATTATGTACCTTCCTACGATACCATAAGATATGTATAGACACACTTTCTTAGATATGGCTAAATATAAAATAATTTAGAAGAAAAAAAAAATAAAACTAAACAACAAAGTACCAAATGTATTACTCACTAAGTTTTCGACATTTTCAACGCAGTCATACTAGTTGGCATTACTATTTATTCTTATAATAATATTCGATTGTATTCTCTTTTTAGTTTTTATATTTTAATATGTTAGTTGTTACAATTGATTTTTATTTGCACAGGAAATTTAATGTTAGCTGATTAATATAGAGTGGACATTTAGACAGCCCGTATTTGTCTGACGTATTTGTCTATTTATATGGAGTCGTATTTACCCCAGATAATTTTCTCGTTTTTTCGGTGGTAGCTGTTTTAGTTTTGGTGTTATAACTGTGCTACTATAACACAGGAGTCTTTGTAAATCTTGGGTAAAAGAGAACCAATGTCGTTTTGGCGTGAGTTGTATTATATCAATAAATACATTCACCCTTTATTCATTGTGTAAAAAATTTACACTCCCAAGATAAAAATTGAAAAAGTTATGAAGTGTTTAGTAAAAATTAAACACTGAGTTTAAAAACTATTTTAATAACGTCAAAGCTTATTTTTTAAAAGCTAAAAAAAAGAGTCACGGTATAATCGTTATTAAACATTTTTACTTTTGTTCTCAGTTTGTAAATTGAAATTGCGATTGCTTTAACAATGAATATGTTATGAAGCCTTGTTTGGTTTACTGTAGTGTCACTTGTAAATTAAAAATCAAACAGCTTTTATACTTAATATTTTACGTCTAATAAAAGCTAACTCGCGGGTATGTAGGAACGAATTTCTCAGCTACCGAAGAATAATATGGCCGGATCTCTGGTTAAGCGCGACAGACTGTCGGGAACCGTTGAGTAATTGCACGAGTTCAAGATAATCCACAACCCGCACTAGGGAGTTTTGTCGTTTAAATTTTGACCACCGATTTGTACGCACGCGAGGCTTAACCGTGTTGGCGTTATTTTTAAAACAATTATTTTTGTTATTGTTTTGTTATTTGCATAATGTTTCGCACGCGAACATAATATACATGACCGGGATTTAGGATTTCGCGTGATCAGATATTATGGGAAAACAACCGGACGGTACAAAATAATACAGGGAGACGCGCGTATCTCGACCGTGACGTGTCCGTTTTAGTCGACCTCAAATGATAAAAAAAAAATCCGTTTGTCTTTTCCACGTTCTTTTTTTATCGTGTATACATGTAAGTGCCCACCGTAAACGATGAGGTGCGAGACGAAGGGGGCTCGTGTATCCGGTCACAGTATTCGAAGTCCGGCGTCTTTCCGTTGGTTGTAATATTATGTAAAAACTAAAACATCCGGTGGACTGTTAATGGAAAATGGGCCCGCGAAACAACATTATAGACGTGCAAATTAATTCGTCGCCTTTTGGCCAAAGGGGCGGGAGCGAGAGCGGATGAATGGATTATAGCTTTGGAGAGATTACACCGTACCTACACCTCTTTATCCGTCCGTTTTTCATAAAACGACAATCATTACAAGCGAAGGATCCGAAATCCCCATCTGGCAGCTTCGCGTCGGCGGCCCTTCATTTGCAGTACCATCATCATTATATTATTGCCATTGCAGCAGAGGAACAGCTATAGTATTATAGGTATGGTATAAATAGGTACAGCTTGTTTCGCGCGCGCCAATGACATTAACGAGTCTTAGCCCAAATAGCATTAAGACGATACACACAAACCAATTTCCATGATAATCGTCACGGCTCTGTAAAAATAATCAGAAGAGGCGTATACTGAATCTAGTGACTGTATAATTTATACCAAGTCGAGTCACATAAAAGCGGGGACGACGGCACGGCGGTGAGAAGAGGACCGGCTAAGTATTTTCGTTTCGCTTCTCTTAGGTTTAATGCGATGGAATGGCCCTTGGACGTGCTCTGAACCGGCGGACAAACAACGTGGTTGGGTATGGGGTACGCTTTCTTAGCAAATCCCAAAAGACCAAACGCCGTTTAATCTCAAATTATTATCTCTTCACCGCAGCGCAGTCAGAATATACAAGACTATTGTACACAGCCGATCAACCCCCGGGATTTCGCGATTCTAAAATCACCGAACTGAACCACCTGAACTTATAATAACACTTCAACGCGCCTTTTTGACTTTGGAATTTAAATATTTAGGCTATTATGAACCGGGTGCCTAGTGTGATATTTAAAGACATCTAAACAGCGAATAGGCTAAACCATTTTGTAATATAAATTTATCAATTTTTTCAATAGGCTTCATTTAAATAAGTAATGTATTAATTCAGCAAACAAAAAACATTTCTAACAAATTAATTTGGCGTTTAAAAAAAGAAATGTGCGTGGAAAATTGTATAAAGTTGTGTTAAAACAATTTTTATTAACAATTAATAATTTTTAATAAAACTTTTATTTTTATATGTCTAAAATGACGGTTTTTGGTAAAATTCCAGTTTAATTCCATTATCTTAATGGTATCTCCATGGTCTTAATTCTATTATATAACGTGTTAGTAATTATAATCAAAATAACCGTTGGAAAACTATACGTTGTAATTAATAACAAAATATTAACTTAAAAAAGTTTTCTTAACAATAATTGTTGTTTGTTAAAATTATACAAATAATTATTATTTGTATAATTTTAAGTTCCTACGTAATACAGCACTTAAGTGTATTCAACCTAATTTAAATAATATTAGCATTTTGGCTGTACTATTTGTACTTTAAACTTATCAAACATACATTTTGAAAATATGGTAGTTCAGTAATAATTTAGCTATGAAATTATCTAGCTGCGAACTTGTACTTGCTAATAATCGTCCTCGGTATAATTTGTGTCATTTTAACGATTATTATTTATTTACTCTGTTCAAATGAACTTTCTTTTATGTAACATTTTGTAGGATCATTGGAGACTATAAGTCATAACTTATGAACAACTAGTACTTAGTAGTGGTATTAGTTATTACTAATTTATTCATGTAAAGATAAGCTTAAGTATGTGGTGACTACGACAAGATAATGTTTTAGGTGGCTTTATTTTATTCTGGAAAATAATCAAATGCCGTTACGCCCAGTATAATTAAATTAACGAGTATTGTCGGAAAACGTAAACATATAATATAATATTATTATTATTCTTGGTTTATTGCTTCAAATCAACATATGTGCAGGTCTACACTATCATGTTTACACTCATGCATGGTGTGAAGAATAAGAAGCTATCATTTGTATAACATACACATATATATATATATATTATGCCTCTTTTGTGTGCTAAATCGTGCGTGTTCACATTCATGCAGATTTCCGCAATGATATCCCCCCCACGCGCCTCATTTGAGTGTATAGTGCCGTTTCTCGTGCGAGGTTTCGCGGTTAGAATAAATTACCGTGCGTACGGTCTTTATAATAAACTATTAATTGTGACTGACAGTACTTATTACATATTATAGGTACTATAATACAGTCGTGTATAATAAAGTTATCATTTGTATTATTTTTACCATGTTCAGTGATATATACAGGGTATTCGCTAGGTCCTTTGGGAGAAGAGAAGATTAAAAACGAACAAATACTTTGGATAGATTTAAAACCCCTTATCTTAACAAAATTAATTTTCTTGAATACATAAAAGTTTAGAATTACGTTGTTATCGCTGTTTTAAAATAAATGCTCTTTATAATTCGACGACAATAAACGGCAAAGACTTAAGAAAGTTTTTTTTTTACTTCGACTATATTATATTTTATAATGAATAGGAACAACGTGGCATTCAGACGAAGGATAAAGCCTCTTGTCGAAGAATTCGGCCTTCCAAGTAAATAATTAAAAATTATGAATATCAGTGCAGAACGCAGCATGATTATTTATTGCATATGACATGTGTTATGCGGTCCATACACAGTCAATTATAATTGTCAATATTGTTTAAAAATATTGACGAACATTTTAAGAGGTTCTCGGTTCTCCTTTTAAACACGATTGAAACATAAATGGCGAAAAATACAAATTCTGCCACCCGACGACCGAACTAGGTAGAAACAGACCTACTCCCGAGCAGAGTTGGTCATTATTTATTCGAATGACGAATAATAAAATATTTATTTGACTATACCTAAGATTGTTTATTCGAATAAAAATATTATTTAAATAATTTTTTAGATAAAAAATTATCTTAATAATGCCCAACTCTGCTCCCGGGCAAAGGCATCACATCAAAAAAGATTGCAGTACATACACGATCAATAATATTTATCGTGTATTAGCGGTTTTGAAAAATTAATCAGTGTATTGAACAAGTTAAAAATGTTTGATTTTTATAAATGCGCAGTCAATTATGTATACTGTGCGTTTATGAATGGTGGCAATATTTAATAATATTGAAAAAAATTGACAGCGCGTCAGTAAAAACAATTTTTAACCTGTTCTATATTCTTATATTGCAATACAGCTAATACATAAGATCTACATTATTAATCGTGTATGGGCCTCGTTGTCGCACGCCCCAAGTAGAATTTCAATCTATGGACACAAACTTTTACCTTTCATTTAAAACGGCGTGATACTGATATTTTTTCTAAACTTCAAATTACAGGTAACACGTCGGTACTGTTGATCGTGTCGTTCACTGTCGAACGTTATATAGCCGTGTGCCACCCTCTCCGGGGACGCGTCCTGTGCACCGAATCTCGGGCCAAGCGCGTCATCTTGATCGTGGCTCTTTTCTGCATAGCTTGCACGGCCACTACGCCACACGAATGGCACATATGGTTGAACCCGGAGACGGGCAAGTTCCAAAAGAGCAGCACGGAGCTGGGCCGCAACGATATCTACAAGAAAGCGTACAATTGGTTTTGCATAGTGACTTTCATATGCATGCCTTTGCTTGTACTGGCCGTGCTCAACTGGTTTCTCATCAATGCGGTCAACCAGAGCCGCAGAAACCGAACACGACTCACCTGTCAGGTATTATTATTATTTGTTATTAATATTTAACGAGAAAACTCAATTAGCTCCATTGTTCAGTATAGTAATAATGTATAACTATAGTAGGTATCGCCCGATTTTACCGAATTGATTCTTTTTCCATTTCCAAGTAATATCCTTGTCAACGTTGTAAGCGTTTTCGAATACGTTTAGATTACATGCTTTGTACTTAAAACTTTGTTAAGAGCTCCGGATCTAGACTAAATAAGTAGTAATTAATGCGTTACAACGATCGGGAGGTTCGAAATCAGTTTTAGGGTTAAGCGTGTTATCCGCATAATTAAATATCGTGAATTGTCGATCAGTTCCAGAACGTGCACACGACGCGATTAAATAATCTTAATGTGTGTACTATAGTTACATGTTCCACCGAAAATGTTTTGTGGAGGTAAATCAATAACAACTGCTGTCAATGTCTGTAATTATTATACTAATAATAATAATTTATTAGTGAGATCCGACGACGACATAAATGAGTAATTGCAATGCAAAGACAGGATCATAAAGATGAAAAACTAACTTATACAAGCGTGATAACTGATATGCAATAATATTAAATTAAATCGGTACAAAATAATATAATATTATGCACATCCCTTATCTATATAATATTTGATTGGTGTATTTTGACAGGTTAGGTACAATCGTTTACAAGTGAAACTTATTTTGTTAGAAGGGTTTTAGTCCATCTGCTAACAAGTAGGTATATACTATGCAGTAACTTTAGTAACTGTAGTGGTAACTAGTGTTGTAATTTGGATTCGAATCTTCGAAGGATTCGAATACCTAATTTTTAAAGATTGGAATATTCGAATATTCCAATAATTATTCGAATATTCGAATAGTTGAAAATTGTATAAATTGTAAATTAATTATTATTACTATTTGAATATTCGAAGGATTCGAATACTATTTGAAGGATTCGAATCCTTATTGAGATTCGAATCCAGAGTATTCGAATATTTCCCATCACTAGAGGTAACAGCCAATCGCAGAGTTCCTACACCCGGGCGTACTTAACACTTAAAACCCTAAGGGCTATAGCAGCAGATAGAACTGCAATATATATTTACTCGAATCCATATACATCCCAAAGGCAATACAACACTTAAGGTAATAGCAATAATCACACTGGTAAAAATAGCTAGTCACTATACGTTAGACGTTACTGTACTCATTAAGGGTTTGCTAATAATTATTCTACTTTTATTGAAAGTAAACATATATAAAAACGTACGGTTGATGCTTCTAATCGGCATCATATTGTTATAAAAAATACTTTTTCACTTATCCTTACAGTCTATTTTAATATTTTGGTTCATTTCTTTTTAATGTTTCATGTTTCAGAATAATCATTCTTAGATTTTCACAAGTGATTGATAAAATAATAAAGTAATAATTACAGTAACAAATAATATATTTATTATATACTCATTTATAATGTTGTTTCAGACAAACTCTTAAATTAGCTTTTTTTTACCACATATTTTTTGTTGGTAAAATGGTTGAAATCCATCGTACAAATTATTTTATATACAAACGTCAAACACTTATCGTGTAATTTGGACGGATGCCACCTATTGTATCACTTAGCACTTACTTTTTTTAAAATTATTTTTCATTAAACTTCTGATATTACAGATCAGATTACTAGATGTTTATGATGTCAACATAAAATACAGATAAAAAGTAGACTCGGTAAATAAGAAGTTTATAAAGTAAGGTCATCATTTTCATTGCACTCTTATAATTTATACGGTATACCGCATACTGTCAGTATACTAGAAATAATAAATAATAATAACTAGGTACTCAAGTGACTTGCCATTTTTTTAATTTATATTTAAAATGTTTGATTTATTTATAGATTTTTTAATTTTTCCCCCTTACTATAAACTCAAAATTATTATACAAATTTTATCCGAGCGTACGGTAGTGCGCCAGGCCAATTTCCAGCAATGCCAGTGTATCTTTACACGAACCGATTCACCCAGTTTTTCTAACCCACATATCTCTGTTTCCTCTTAAGGTAAGCTTTTGAAATTTAAAACATAGATTAGGCTCGAGTAGCTTAGGATACTGTAAAAATGGAGCCTTTAATAATTAGCCTTTTCAAAAGGGGAGAATTTCAAAGTTCTTATTTTTGTTTGACTCACTCACTCACTCACTCATCAGTCATCATCAAAATTATAAAACACTTCCCGTATAGGTAGAAACGTGAAATTTAGCTGAGAGGCAGGTCTTATAGTGTAACTAAAGGGAAAAATTTGAAAGTTGTAATTTTCTCAAAATTAATGCCGCTTTAGGGAATGTAGTTCTAAAATGCATGATATGACGCGAAACTAAAAAGGTATTTTTATTTGTAACTACTCAGAATGCTTAATAGTTCTTATATAATATATTGAGCAATTTTAACTGTTCAAAACAGCGGCATCTCTTCACTTATTGCTAAGTTTGACTAAATATGTAATAATAACTTAATAATCCGGTTCATCGCCAACGGTCGTATGGTGTATTTAACCGTTTGCAGATATCTAACTGTCCTAGTCAGTAGTCCGTGTGATTTATCTTGAAACAAAAACAATCTGCTGCCCATTTTTGCACAGTCTGTCCGAAAAAAGGGCCGATTCGAGTACTTAGTCCGTTTGGTTTATTTACCTGACCGGCGGTCAACACTAGTAAATAGCGTACTTAAACAGCGGTAAGGGTTAACCGCAGCGATAACGAAACGGTTCTAAAATATGCATAATAATTACTGTCGCGCGTTTTGCGAAATGGCAGTTAACCGACCGCGGTATATTTTATTGTGCTGTGTAAAAAAAAAAAAAAAAACGCTCTTTTTATTTTTGTTTGTTTTGGCTTAGCTCGACGACGGCAAACGATAACACCGCGTGTAGTGTGTGTAGATAGAATTACCGAATAAACAGAATCGTGATAGAAAACAGTCAAATCGTTACCAACGTCCCATACGGATACTGTCGCCGCTGTAGACATTTTTTAAAAAAAAAACGTTGCCGACTGCGAAGATGTATTATTTATTTTTGCTCGACTGTTTTCGTTCGCGTCAAACAACTTTTATAATTATTTTTTTCTTTTTTAAGACCTACTACGGTTGTACCGACCCGGCTATAAGTAAAGGGCATGCGACATTCCTATATTGGAAACACTTCCAATTATTATTTTTCTTGAGGATCTAGTGGATTACACGATCCGAGTACTTGACGTGTTGACGTGTTCAATTAGATTTTTTCTTAGGCCGGACGATGCGACACCCACGATTTTTTTGTTGTTTCGACGGGCAAAATAAACTTTATAGCTCGATCCATACTGACGACATAAGATTTTATAAACGAGAGTCTGATGTTTACCTGAAAACTTTATATCTGTCTTTCTGCAGGCTATGTACTCAGTAAAATATACACAAACCCGGTACGGTGACGTTTTTAAACGTTGTTGGAAAGTTATTTTTTGTTTTGATTTTTTAAGCGTCCTACTAGCAAACTCAGCGCAAAGTTTTCAAAATACAAAAATACTGTTATTATTAAGTACACATTAACAACTGGTACTCCATTATAATCGGGCAGTCGCCATTGTTGTTGTTTTTTCACAGGGTAACGTAGTGTGGAACAGGCAACGACAAGAGAACAAGATGACTATGACCCTGATCGCAGTCGTCATCATGTTCTGCGTGTGCCAGACTCCGACGGCCGTGATGATGCTGCTGGCGTCCGTGTACGAGCCGCCGGAGAAGACGGCTGCGTACTACGTCAACCGCGGTCTGCACACGATATTCAACTTCCTCATGGTGGTCAATGCCGCGTCCAACTTCATGCTGTACTGCGCCATGAGCCGCAAGTATAGGCGTACTCTGATGATCACGTTCCTGCCATATTTAGCGGCCCGCCACTCGCGTGCCACCACGCTACAGTCATCCGTCAGCTGTCCGCGGTCGGCCACCATTGTCCGGAATAACACCGAAGTTACGCAGATGACTGACTTGAGCGGTTACGGCAAACGCGAGCCCCTTCTCCGCATAAGCGGTGGCGGTGACCGCAAGACCAGCAATGCTTCCTCCAACAAACACGACGCCTTGTAAAGAGTACTTCATTTTGATTTATTTTCCCGTCGAGCGTGGTTTCACGCCCCCATCGTGTACCCACCTGGCCCTACTCCACCGCTCATATGATTTTTGCCAACCCGTTTCGAAATTTCTGAATACGCGTACACGTACTTACGCATAGAAAAGTAAGTGCCGCTATCGGGAGGGCCATATTACTTAGGTAATCTTATTTCCAATGAAACACCATTGGCGTCCATTTGGTGATTTCTAAGGGCGAACATTTTTTTTTTCCGTTCAAATAAACACAGCAACTAATTAATTTGTTTATTTGGTTGGTTTTTATACATAATTACATTTTCTTGTAGAACAAGTCTCCCGGTTAATCCTTCTAAATGACGAATGCCTCTGATCACGGCGACATTTCAACGCGAAATAAAAATAATATTATAGTTCTTTCTCGCACTTGAATTGGGCCTCACCGCCCATTAAATCTACACTTAATCGTAAAAATATTTGTATACAAAATATTGACACTCTAATTAAAAACTATTACTTACGAAAAATGTAACAATCGTGTTAACTTGGTCTTCTGAATTATAATATACAATTCTGATGACCATTAAATATTCAATATTTATACAATTTGTTTACCTAAAACCGCCGCGCCGCGGATCTGATCTTAATTTCAGGGGAGGTACCACGGCCACCGACTGAAAGTTTCTAACATAAAAAACTAGATTACAAATTTTATGACCACAATAAGTTAAATAATAAGAGGTCTAGTAATTTTAAAGAGGCAACCCTACCAGTGATCTAATCTATTAGATTCGTGATGTATGGTATTTTTCCAAAAAAAAAACTGTTCTGAGTAAAAACGTCTGATATGAAAATTGTTGTTAATATAAAAGACGAAACAATTTGTATTGTTTTCAACGTTTCATTTTAAGAATACTATTATTATAGGTGCGTTTTGTCGTTAATATGGCAACAGGAAATCGTTATCCGACAATATTTAAAGTATAATAATATACTTTTTATTTAATTAAAAAAAAATACTAATTAATACGAACAAAATTACTAGTAAATAACAAATTTTAAATAAACTACTTCTAAGGCTGTTTTTCAGCTGTTTAGAAACATAGTCGAGAAGAAAATAGTGGCATTAATACTTAATATACTTAACTATTACTTATATACTAATACTTTTTATCATAGCACATTTTTCAAACCAACTACTAATCTTCATGCGTAAGCCATTTTAATTTTCACTAAAGAATAAAACATCATAATCCATAAAATTATAGAAGTACATGTAATATAATATAATGAAAATATGATAAATTCAAAATTGATAGCTCACTAGAAATTATAAAAATGTATATTGGATATTGCGATTATATTTGGAGCTCCGAAAGCTACTTATTCCAAAGGCTACAAAACTATACTAAATAATAATTGTGACTTACCAATTTAAATGTATTTCGGTCATAAATAATGTTTTAATCGGATATTTTTTACTAAACAATATAAATACCTAATTATAATGATATAAATAAAAATACCGTCTCATATAGGAATGTACATATAGCTTTTTAGTAATTTTATAGTATCATATGAAATTTGTAAATATTATTTTCTCAGTTCTTTCGTTTTGAAACCAACCTTTTGCGGTTTTTTTGTTTCGAAAACGTTTTAAATTAATTAATTCTGTTCCCCTAAACGGTAGACGTTTAAAGTTTTTATTACATTTTTATTGTATGGGCCATATGGGAATTTGGCTTTTCATCCACACCGGGGTTGAGACCCCCCGCGTTCGGGGAGATCGGCGGCGGCTCAACCCGAAATAGTCAAAACTGGAATTGTATACTTTTGGTTGTGTGTGTGCGTGTGAACTAGATTTTAATTTTAATATCTGGCAACAAAAAGCGTGTACGACGGGCGACAACGTTTTCCGTTTGCCATTGCATACACCGGCGCGGTTCGCCGCTATTTTTACAATGCACTCGGGCAAAGAGAAGAGAGATATAGAGTAAGAGGAACACCGTGCATATTATACAAGTGTTTTGGCCGCCACGATTAATTTGTGGTCCGAGCGAATTATTTATTTTTCCGGCTTCCCCTCCCACCACTCCTCTTTCCACACGTGCCCCTCAAACGCACATCAGTCAACGCCACTGTCGCAAGTCGCAATACATCTTATACGTAATATTCTTAGAAGTATAATATAGTAATATAGTATGGTATTTATCATTATAAATTGTAATTAATGTAATATACAATATAAGCGTCATATTATATTCACCCTATATTCAATAATATATTATTAGTTAGGTAGGTTTATATTATATTATGTTGTATTTGTGTATTATCGTCATACGATTTAGGCATTTTTTTTCTCATCTGTTTATAAAGAAAATGATCGGTCTTATTGTGAAATACAAATATTGGGTATTTAATTTAAGTTTCAATGAATACCTATAAATTACTTAGATACTGTAATATTATCATAACTATAGACATAGTAACATTGTAGTACTATTAATCATACTATATTAATATTATTATAATTTATAATAGATATAGCCCCAGCATAATTTTGTAATGCCTGATGATATGATACTCAAAAGTAATTCTTATAACTTATTCGTGTATTGTTATTTTATTATTATAATATGATCGTAAATACTTTTAGCCAGTAGTGTAAGCTAAATACTTATGTATACATAATTATATTACTAATAGCTTTATAATAAATACTATATTCGTATCACGTTTTTAGACCGTATATAATATGAAAGTATAGGTACTTATAAGTTATAAATAGTAATATATGAAATAAAGACGCATATAAAAACTCAAAGTAACTATCTATTCTGTTTCTATTTTGTACAACAAATTATAATATATGAGGCCAAGGTGAGCTAAGATGACGTATCTAGCTGGGGTTAAATTAAGTTAGATATAACGAATTCATTTATAAATGCGTCGAATGTTCTACGAGTCAAGTATCGATATTATGCGCTTTGCTTGTTAGCTTAAGTCGATAGTAATGTTAAATAAAAAGATAATTTTAGATCAAATGATGGTGAGGAGTCTAGAGTTGAACGTTTTTTACTTAATTATTTATTAACATCTCACAATAATTATTCAACAGCCTAATTCAAATTGTTCAAATTCAAACGCCAAATACGAACTAACGTTTGGAGCCCCTCCCTCGGAACTTTTTGAAACTTACCCTGCAAATCTGTTACGATGCAATACATTTTTTTTTCGATTATTTTATCTATGGACGTAAAAAGTATTTTCAGTATTTTTCTTTACTCTTCTTTTTAGAATCTTCGGTAATAAAAAAAATGATTAAAAATCATGTTTTTATGTAATATAATCTTAGCTTTCTGAATTTTTTTAGAAAAATAAATGAAATTTCATAAAATGTCGAAAAACGACCACAGTAATCAAAATAGTTTAAAAAAAAAAAATAAGGTGTAAAAATAAGATAATTTTCTATTTCTTCGACTTTTCTATAAAATTTTACTTCTTTTTTGTTTTTTCTAAGCATTTTTATGGAGAATTAATTTTTAAAATATATGTAAAATTATATCAGTTCTCTCAAAAAAATATTAGAAAACGCTCAACATTTTAGGTAACATTAAAAACCAACTTTTTAGATTATAAACTCAATTTTAATGACTTTATGTTTCTCGAAAAATAAATCAATATTTTTTTCAGTAAGCCGAGGTTATTTTTTATGGCCCAAGATACTCTAATAAAGAAGAGTAAAGAAAATAACTGAAAATACTTTATACGCCCATGGACAAAAAAATTTGAGAACATTTTTTTCTACGATGAAAAGAATGTAAGTAGTAGTCAGATATGCAGACATGGTAAGTTTTAAAAAGTTTCTGCCGGGGGGGGGGGGGGTGATTAACCCGTTTTTCTATTATACCTTTTTTAAAATTCTAATTCCAAATAAATCCAATAAAATCTATTAAAACTGTTTGCTTCAAATTCAAATGCTACGCATAAAAAAGGAATATAAAGAAAATGTTTCGATCTCTTCTGGTTATCCATTAATACATTTTTTGGCTCTTGTGTAATTAACCAAACTTTACATAGGTTATATCTAAATAATATTCTTATTTTCGTAAAATATATTTGGAGTTAATTTAAATTACCCTATTATTATTTTTACAAGTTAAAAAAACATATTGAAAGTTAGTACAGAAAGTGTAGAGCGTGGGTATAGTACGCATAAAATATAATATCAACATTGTACCTCTTAAACTTTAAAAAGCTTTTAACTCGATCAATAAAATTCAAAACCTATTATCGACCTAATTATTATTTTTTGTTAGTCCTTTATGAATTAAAAAAATTAATAATTATTAAGACTGACGATGGTAATATTATAACCGGGATAAGAAGGGAAAATTGTCCCTCTCAACAGAAGGGTGTATTAAGGGGTAAACATATTTCAAGAGAAATATTTGTATTAAACTATTGAGACGATTGTATCTGTAATGTCAATTATTGACAATTTTTCGCTTTTGAATCCAGGGTAAGGGTATTTAGAATAGGCTATTCTACTAAATATTGGATTTACATCTCTTTACATAAAAAAAATTGTATAAAAAAGAAAACCTAAAAGCTGTCCGTTCAAAAATCCCTAGCATATTGAACAATATATTAAAATATTATGTTAATAATAAAATAATATAATATTGACGTCTCACCAGTCACCTCCAGCAAGTGACGTGGATGTCATCCGAGTACAAACCATGGCGTCGTTGTATTTATAACGGGCTGTTGTGGGTTCGCCCAATATTAATATATATAAGAATGTGTAACGATTTGCGTACACACATATACAAACTGTTAACGCAGAGGAGCTGCTTGGCACACGTATTCTTTAATGGTATTTTTAGATGACCGTTGTATAAAAAAAGAAAAAAATGATTTAAAACAAGAAAAAAATTAGCTTTAATTTATTTTTGTATTTTATTGCCTATTTAGACAAACAGCAACGTAAAAAAAATTGTAATACAATTTGGACGGACATAGATGCAATTTATGTGTTATCTATAAAAAAAAATAATTTAAATTCATTTAGTCATAGTTACATGTAAAAATTAAATGATTATAATAGTTGTGTAATAATAATAACTAAACGAGTGATAAGTAGAAAATATGCTCGTTACGTTTCTCCTTTTAGTGATTAAATATAATAGATGGTTGGAATGCAATTTAACAATTTAACAAATCGTTCAAGTCAACCCAATCCGTGATCTTCAAAAAAAGTCTGAGGCGTTTCTTCCTGAAAAAAAATAATAAAAAAAAAAATCCATAAAATTCAGAAACTTATTTGGATTAAGGTAATAAAACATTTTTTTTTTTATATTCTACCAGATCCGGATTGATACCACCAATTCCACAAGTTTTTACATTTAAATTATTTAACATTTCTAAATTAATTTTTTGAAATGCTAATAGGCCACATTATTGCGATTTTTAATTTTTTTATAAATGTTGACATTTTTTGTTTCTTAAAATTATTTTATTTTATAACTACCATATTATATATTATTACAGTGTGTTTTAGTACCCATCAAAAACTTTTATTTCACGATTTTGTGACTTTAAAAATAAAAGGTTTTATTGCTAAAATGTTGTGAATTCAATACTTATTATTTTAGTTTATTTACTGATTAAATCCGGATCTGGAAGTGCAGGACTAAAAGAAATTAAAATTACAAAAATAACATCAAATCAGATACAAGGAAAACGTATTACATATTTAAATATGATTATTTATTATTTGTGCTCTTTAAACATACCGTAGCGCCAATTTTTTTTTGCTGACATTACTTGAGACACTATATATATATACGAATATTATTTTAACAAAACAGTTAGCATATAAAAATTAAAAAAACCTTAAACCATTATGCATAAAATGTAAAGCGGGTTGGATATGTTTTCATTTATACAGCAATATATCTTTTATAAATATTACAAGACATATTTTTTTTTAGTTAAATACTCAATATATTATCCAATATAATTATTATTATTGACAGATCTTGGTTGACGAGCAAATCATTTTTTTAAACAACTTAATATTACTAAATGTAAAACAATACTTATAATACACAGTACAAACAAATTATTGCAAATGACATATTTGTAATAATTTGGCATTTTTGTTCAATCTTCTCATTTAACTTATTACTTTCATGTTTTACATAGAAGGAACTATCTCTATCAAAAGTCATAACATGTACTGACTTTCAAATTCTAACTTGATACACTTAACACACTAATGGTAAATCAAAACACACATTGTTTGAATTTTTAAAACATTATTAAAAATACACACAAACAAAAAAATGATTACAATAATAGTAGTACTAGGAATTAACAAAATTATAAAAGATTTAATCAAATTTGCTGCCCTCATAATAGGCCAATCTCTTTCAGAGCGCCTTCGACTGCCTCCTCCTACACACAAACACATATTAAAAAATTGTAAATTAATATCCCAAAAATGGACAAGAATATAGAAAGTACCTAAATAATATGAATATGACTTCATGCAGGTTGTAAAACAAAAACTGAATAATGAAGACAGATACTTTAGAATACTTAATTAAAGCTGTATAAAACACAAAATACTGTAAATAAACGCATAATAATTATGTCTAATTAAAAACAGAGTATTACAACCCATAGCTTTAGATTGATGGCAGGAAACAGTTCAAAAACAACATTAAAAATACAGATTTGAGTAAATCAATTAAAGGTAAATAAAAAACAAACAAATCTAATAAGAAAAAATAATAACCCATTGTATTGTTCAAACAAACCCATAAAATTCAAACAATGTTAAACAAATGTAACAACAATTTTACTTAAATACTATGTAGGTACACAAACACTGTAAGTATAATACATAAACATTTTGGTTAATAAGTCAAAAATAGTTTGCATAAACACAAATGTTGTTTATGCACAATTACTTAAAATTAAAATAAATAATTTTTTTTTAAATTTCTTTACATCACAAAATTAATTAATACAATTTAGTAGTATAGCTTCATTTTATACAGAAGAAAATTGTCTATACTCGTATGAAAAAATAATATTTACAGTGTAATTGTTTGAGGGTAATTTATGTAAATTATAAATAATTATTAAGTAAACAATAAATACAGTAGACATTTATGTTTAAAATTTACTAATTAATTACTACCTATTGTCAAATAAATAATTAAAAGTTATGGCTGGGACTAGCTAGTTTATTTTATTATAATTTAATTAATATTACCATTATTGTTTACAGAAAAAAGCAAGTAATACTTACTCCATAATTCAACAAATGAATAAATAAACAGAAATAAATATACAATTATAAAGATGAAGGTTGGAATCAATCAAAATGATAAAAAAATTGTACTAGTAGAACTCCATAATTAAATGAGAAATATATTATATAGTGTGATATAAAAGTAAATATATGTGTACCTACTCTATATTCTATATTTACTTTAATTATAAAACATTATTCATTTTAAATGAAACAATCACAAATCATTTTTCATAAATTTAGTAAACAAGTGCAAATATATTAGATTAGTAAGCAAATGATCAGGCAAATATGCGTAGCTGTTAATATTATTAGGTCTAATTCTATATAAATTGGCTTTAATGGGTTAAACAGAATTAAAATAATAACCAAGTTAGATAAAATTAGAATTTTGAACTTATCAAAATCAAAAAATTATTGCATTTATTTTTATTGTATTACTTTATAAACTCATTGCAAAAACATAAATAAACATAAATAATTTATCTTTTATTATAAAAAAAAAAAATAATAAAAATTAATTTGGTCTACTTTTTTATAACTTAAAAATTTATAATTTTTTTAAAAATTTTAATTAGTTTGTACCTAAGTTCGCTAATATATTATATTAGTTATAATTATTAAAGTAAAAATCAGGAAAATATTTTAAATTATTATGGATTAAAAAAAATACTGATTATTAGTTAAAAAATATATTTTGTTTAATATTTAAAGAAAATAAATCAAGAAAAAATAAATAAACACAATTTTTTAACTCGACTTTAAAGTTGCTTATTTACTATTCTATTAAATTAATTGTATTGTTTATAACAAATTAAAACAACTAATATAGAAATATTGTTTTGAAAAAAATTAAATCAGGACCAACCCATATTCAGTGTTATAAAGTATGTCAGAACCATTTCATAAATGCATTGCAAGTCTGAATTTAACTAACACTAATATTAAGAAAAGTAAATTTTATACTCTATTTATACTGGTAAAATATACAATTAGGATCAATTTTAATGCATATTCATTTATTAATAGCAATATGAGAAATTTATAATGGCAAGCTCAATAGATTGGCATAAGAACACAAAATTAATACTCAACAGCTGAATAATTACATTAACATAACGTGTTAATACATAACAAATGATCAACTTAATGTGTACTTAAAATTAACTTTGGCTGGCATACTTTGGTAATAACTTAACTTTGGTTATTTTTTATTAGGTAGTATATAGGTAATTTAAGTGTTTATATTAATTTTGAAAATAACATGTGACTATTTTTAAATGACTAGACTTGATTAAAATTTTCAAAAATAATATATTTATGAATTTTTCAAATGTATTATATGAAGTTAATTTTTTTGTCATTTTAAACTATGGAAATTTTAAATAATTTAAAATTTAACACCATAATAATATATTATTTTAATCAAATAAAAAAAGGTAAATATAAATAATTTGATTTTTAATGAGACAGCTTTTTACCTTTGTTTTGTACATATAACTGAGCATGTCAGTTATTTTATATAATTATTCATTAATAATGGCAAGACATAACTAATTAGTATGCATTCAAGCCTTTTAAATTTTAATATTATATTTCTCTATACTATTAATTTTCTAATACAAAAGCATTCCTATGATGTTTTATAAAATGCAATAATAAAAATAATCATAAATAATTGAAAACAAATTAAAGTTCTAATGGAGTGTTTCCATAACTAACCTCTTGCAAGAGATCCTGCGCAGATATTGCCTTGAGCACATTTTTTTTGCTAGTTTCTTGTATTTCACCACCCAACAACAGCTCATCTAATATAAAGTATGCTTTTTCAAAATTGAAAATAATGTCCAGCTCACAAACCTATTGAAAAAAATTACATTAATCTATGCTGTATTTGTATCACCAGGTGTTCCAGGGTATTCGTTTTTTAATGAGTATGTGAATGGTCATAAAAAGATATTTGGGAGGGATGCTCTATATTAGGAATCGGTACACCCTAATCACTCAGTGATAAAAATATTTTGTGAAACTATATTATATAATATTGTTTAACAAATTATTTATTTTAATTATTAATTGTGCTATGACTTACACTGCCAAAATATTTGTCCAAAAGTTCAACATAACGATGAATAATCTCTAATGTGAGAAGTTCATTATCATTCTGCTCAATAGCACAACAAAAGTATAGACTTGCATATCTAAAATATAACATATAATAAAATATACATACAAATTAAACAAGTTAATATAAATAATTTACCTTTTATAAACAATTTTTAATTCTTTCCATTCAAGAAAACTGCACATTTTTGGTTTTCTGGCTAATATTGTGGTGATAAGCTCTCTTGTAATTTTTTTCTTCACTTTATCTGGATGAGCAACATACCATTTTTGGAGTCTGAGTTTGCCTTGGCGGCTGAATAATAACATAAAATGCATCTATAAAACAAAATAAATTATGTAACTCAAATTATTATTTATATCATAATGTTCAAACATATAATATAAATTTATTGTACTTTTGCCAACTAAAATATTAGATTTCTTTTTAATATTGATTACAAATTTTAAATCAGACTAGATTAGTTTAATAAAATTAGATGATTAAGTATATTGTCGTTTAAGTATATCAGTACACTGTGCACAAGATGGTCATGTCATCATCAACAACGGCCATCGCACATTTTTATTATGTAGTCTTCAGTCACTCACCTTTTGTGGTCTATTTTTTTTTTTAAAAACACTTAAAATTATTATGTTTAATTTTTGAAATAATATGCATTGTTAATATTACATATGCTCCAATCTTCCCGAATCCTACTATCTATCAACACAGTATGCACTCAGTGTGCCCATATTTTTAAACAAAAAGTTATTTAAGTTTAAGTAGTTTTAACTTTTGAACCAGTAAAATGAAAATTTCTTTTTAGATTAATAAATTAAGAAGAAAAAAACTATAATTACCTGGATTAAAAAAGTAAATTTGTTCCCTAAGTATAAACCTTTAAGGAATTATGGACCAAATGCACTTTACCAGAAACCCTTAATGCGATTATTTTTACACTGATTACAAATCTGATGTCAGAAATTGGTGGACTCCACTAATTTAAGTTAAAACTACTTGAACCTTAAATAATTGTTGCGTAAGATGACCGCGGCATGGCGCCTGCGTCGGCAGGCTTGGAAACTGTTTTACGTGTCTGGCAAATAAATTTAAAAAGTACTACGAAAGGGTGGGGGCATAGTTGTTGCCGCCCCGCCCATTGCCTACTATTATAAAGGGAAAACTTCAAAGTTCAAGTATCTGTAATTTTTGAATAAGAGAAGTCCGGTATAAGTGTACTTTACCGGGCACACTTTTTTTTTATCGATATTACGTTTAATGCTGATGAAATTTGGCTAATAAATGTTTTTACTTAAATTTAAAACTGTGACCTCCTCCTAGACTGTAGCCTGCAAACCTAGGATATTTTTGGTTTAGCGGAGCAAAACGATGACGCCGAGCGAGCGAGTGCCAAAATACTCGGTGACCTGCCGTCTTTATTTGCGATTTTAAGTTAAATCAAGTAGAATATTAATATTTATACTATATTTCTGATCGCGTCGCCTTGCATTACGGGTGAGAGCAGTTAGTCGACCCCGCTGTAACCGTGTTATTGTATAGTGCGCGCCGGCCGTAATCGCAAACTTAAAACGTCTGTAACTCCGAAACTAAGTTCGTCCGGCAAAAAATTCATCAGCATTAAACATAATATCGATTAAAAAAAAAAAAAAATGAAAAAAAAAGGGTGCCCGGTAAAGTACATTTGTTCCATTAACTGAGTAATGAAGGTTAAGTATCTGTCTTCAGTTATAATATCTATGATGAAAATGCTTACCTTATTTTTTGGATACTATACACCGGAGTTATACATTTTTATTTTGGCAAAGTAGGAAGTTGATACAATTATTTAAAAATGGTGTTTCTTAATCTTCGAAAAATCAATAAAAATATTATTGAACATATATTTGGGGATTATCTATAGCTAGAAAAGCAATCACACAATTTGTAGTAGGCACTAGGCATTATATGTTTAGTGACTAGTGTTCTTACTTCTTATCTAGTCACCAAAATCAAAATTCCAAATAGGTAGTAGGCACTAGGCAGTACCAGTTAAATGTGAGCCTAAATAATCAGTGTCTAATCAGTCTTATCACAACATTAAGAGCTGCCATACTTGTTCCTGTTGAATATTGCTATCAATGTAAAAACAAAATAGTTGGAACAAAAGTTCTAAGTGGTGACCTGTGTAACTACAATGCATACGTCCACCAATCAGAGTGCCCTAGTGACTAGATTCCAGAGAATAACTGCACTCTTAAATAGGAAAATAGTAAATTTAATTATTAATGAGAATTTAGTAAACAAGTTATTATTCTACAGAATAGACAAAAGTTTAACCTATTCTGTGATAATACTATTAACTACAGGTAGTATAGGATCAATACCTTACCTTGGTTCGTGTCCAGTATTAGCATAATTTAATAAATTTAGCTGCTGCAGACATACCTAACACGACTTTAAAGTTTAAACAGAATCAGAACGAAAGCATGTTATTATGTACTACTATAGAATAAAGTAGATATTATCTCTAACACTATATAGGAGAAAAGTGCCGTTAAAGACCAAAAATCATAAAATATGGTTATGGTATATAAACTATTGTTTTTGTCGTGACTCGTAGTCTTAAATCATTGTTACCAAGCTAACAATTTTAAAATGTCTACAAACCGTAGTGATGATAGTGATAAATGATAATTAATCAAGAAACGTAAGCAACCGTCCTTCCAATTCGCGGGTTTTTGTGGAAATTAATAGATATTAAATTAAATATTAATGCAACCCACATATTATTTATTATTAAGTTGTTACTATTAAAAAAAAAAAATTGTTTTGTTACCCAACTATTCCATTTGTTTAGTAAACTAAAACAACAATACATTTCATAAAAACAAAACCAATTATTTTTATTATATTTTAAGTTTTTTTTGTCTGAATGTACTGTTTTATAACAGATTTGTGTGAGAGAACATGACACAAAGTGAAGCGAATCCCGTCAAATTAGTTGTTAATTCTTTAATAATAACGTAATGAATTTAGCTTATTTATATTCAATGACTTTGAGATAGTATATAACTACTTAATTGGAGTAGCTCTAACAATTTAAAACAATACTAAAGTTTGTACTTCGCTAAAAGATTGAAGACCCTTAAAGCATAATATGAGAAATTTAATTGAAGCATAAGTTAGATATATCATTTTATTTAAATGGTAAATATATAATTTTTTTATTATTTCATAACCTTTATCAAGATTTCTTATACTTATAGTCAACTAAGTATAATAAATGATGTGATAAAATTGTTGCAATATTAATATATGTATATTTAGGTATCAATAAAAATATGGAAGATACAAATAAAGAGTCTTGTTCAAATAACAATGAATCATCCAAGTTGTCCACTGATTCAGCAAATAATTTTCAACCCCCCACATTGCTAAAAATTCAGGTATTTATACATATGTTCATTCATCAGTAATTTCTGTGTAAATAACATTAGTTCAAGGGGACAAATTATTTATAAGTGACCAAATTTACTTTTACTACTAGTTTTTATTAAAAAATATTTAAAAACAAATGTTTATATAATAATTTTTCTTATTAATAGTATACCTAAACGTTTTTATAAAATATTAAGTGTAAAGGTGCACATACGCTTGCGAGCGGAACTTTCAACGATACTGTCCAAACTTTTACTGAGTTTGCTTTAGGTTCATCAAATAAATTGATGGAAATGGATTCGTGGGAGAGGTTTGGCTTACAAGTGTATACTTTAATATTATTGCATTAGAAAATGAAATGTTTTTAGTTAATGTTGTAAAATAATGGTGCTTAAAATATCTAATAGTTAAAATATATTCCATATATACTTATAAATATATATATATATTCCATCTTTTGATAAAGAACATTGGATCACCATACTAAAAACTTATATTTATCAATAAAATATAGTAAAAAATAGGATAAAAAAGTTTGGTCCCTATATAAAGTATGAATATAACTAAACGTATCCTAACGAATCCTGCCCAATAATCTGCAGCTGAATAAAAACTAATCAACCTAATTATCTGTCTGATAACCCTGACAACAAATGTGAAAGTAAATATTGTATTAGTTGATCTTTTATAGTAAAAGTTTTCTATCATATTATGACATAAATAGAATAATTAGTAATTTATAATATTTTTCTATGACAATTATTCTAACATGAGTGAGGTTTATTTGTTATTAAAAACATTGAATATTTTGTAAATTAAGGTTATTTATTAATGTAGAATCTGTTGAAACTAAGCCTACGAAATACTTAAATACAAATATTTAAGTATAATAGTTCAAATATAGTAATTTAGATACTGTCCATTCTTCATTTTGATCATTACTTAAGAGAATTTCCTAGTTTTAACAAAAGTAGATATTATATAATGATAAAGTTTTTTATATTTATATATTTATATTTAACAATTTATTGTATACAACAGCAATTAAATGTATACCACTAGTTTGCTGTACCACAATAAGTACTAATAATTAATTATTTTTGCCTAATTTATTTCTAATATAAATTAAAGGCTATATTAACAAAACTACTAAATGTGTATTATATTATTTTTTTTTTATTCTAGGAAAGTAATAGCAACAAAAAAGAAACTGTTTTATTGGTCACAAATAAGAATATTATTAGCAAATGTTGTATACCAGGTTGCATAAGTGGTACTGCTCGTGAAAGACAAAATATGATAAACTTTAAAGTTCCAAAAGCTTCTATGTTTTGTCCTTCAAAGGTTAGTATTAAATTTATTATAAATTAAAAACAGATTATTTTCTTTTTTATAAAAAAAAGTCAAGCAATGTATTATTTTAACCTATGAGGTAGTGCCTGCAGTATTTACACCGCCTTAAGTAAAAACTATGTGCTGCATCTAAGTTCAGAAAGTCAGCATAGCAAACTATTCTCTATTTCTAGTTAATAAGTTGTCAACACACAGGCAAAAAAAAAAATTCAATGCAAAATTGAGAACGTTGTAAACACTGCAGCTCCATGGCCAGCAACATTTCTAAAGGTGCGACTGCTTGAAGGTTAATAAAATGTAATTTAGAAAGTTTTAGGTACTTGGAATGCAGCATTTGGCTTACAATTGACAGAGAATAGTGTTGTATGTGAGAGACACTTTAGGAAAGAAGATGTTGTTTATCGAAAAGTTTTTGTTCCGAATAGTGGTATTACTGAAGTTGCAACATTGGTCAGTGGCGCTATTCCGTTTGTAGTAGAAACACATGCAAGTGTAAAACGACCAAATTCTACTATTAACAAGGATGAGTTATCTAAAAAGCATAAAATTCAATTAACAGGTAAATCTATAGATTAAATTAAAAGTTTTAAAACTGTTTCAAAAAATAAAACCCATTACTAGATGGATAATCATTCAAGAATTTTAGCAATGAAGCTATGTTCCTAATGTAAAAATTCATAACAATCTCAGTTGTTGTCCAATAGGAAAAATAAATAACTCTTTCCGAGTGAGCTTTCATTATTTTTTGCCCAACTAATCGTACTTACTATAGTAGATAATGACCTGAGATGCTAAACCTTAATAATAAAAAAAAAAACTTATTATAACGTCGCATAACCACATCAAGAACTTTTTATTAACAATGGAACATATTTCTCAAAGGAGAAACTTTTATATCTTCTCTATTTTTTTTTCTTTGCCCTCAATTCTGTAGCCTTTGGAATTTTTTTTATTAATTAATATTATTTTTAATATTTTTAATAATTAAAAATGTAACACTTTTACTTCATAGGTCAGCCAAAACCGATTAAATGTATTGATATAACTGATGAAGAAGAAAAAGAAACTACTGAAGTAGTCAACACAACTATTATTATACAACAAACATCGACTGCTACAGAATGTATTAACAAACATAAATCAATCTCTTTAAATAATGCAGTGACAAACAATTTTGAGTCTATTGAACAGCCAAACATATCGGTATCTTTGTCAAATAGCCAATCTTCAAAAAATGTTATTCTAAATTGTTCCAATGTCACACCTGTCCTATTACCTACAATTAGTAAAAGTATATCTCAACCTTCACAAACGCCTCAAATAAATAACCCTACTACTCAAATTAGTGGACCATCAACATTATTAGATAAAGATTCGATTTCAAAACATGATTTGCCATATAAAAAATGTTTATTAAATAGTGAAATTATTGATAGTAATGATTCTTCAATTTTTAAAGATATCAGTTCTCTTCATCGAATTTGTAAAAAATTAGAACTACCTAATATTCTTTGGGCTGGACAATATATTCCGACACAAGACACAACTATGTTTTTACAATATGATGAAAATAATACTGTAGTAAAAACAATCAGGTTTAAGAATAGCCTTGTACCACTAATAGTTATAAATAAAAAAGTATATGATTACAAAAAATCAATTCAAAATAAAATCGAATTGGAAAGTCTTTTAGAACAAATAGATAATATTGAGATATGTCTGGGTAATTTTGGAGTAGTCAGTAAGAATTGTAAAGGTTATTTTGAAGATGACTTAAATAATCATACAACTATGATGTGTTTCAACTGTCAAAAAGTTTCCAAAGACTCAAATTATTTAAAAATAAAAGCAGGAATTAATGAAAAAGCAAGGGAAATTAAGCAGCTTGAAGAACGGGTATATATAGTTTAGCTTTTATGTTTAATGTTATTATTAACTAATGTTTTTTTTTAGGTTTCATTAATGGAGGAAAGAGTGTTAAGAGCTAAACAAAGTTTATTAAAAAAAAGGTCAAAACAAAATCTTAAAAATATATTATTAGCTATTAGTCCATTTGGATTTTTAAATGCAATCGGACCTTCTGAATTATAAAAATAGGTATTGTATTTATAATAGTGCTATTTAGTTATTATCTTAAATTTATTTGAATGAATTATTATTTTAGTTTTTTGAAACTGAACTAAGAATACAACAAAATTTGTTACAAAAGATGCCAAATGAAAAATCTTAAAAATCAATGATTACCTACAAGTTTATTAAGTTTCAACTGTAAATTTAATGTCGGTTACTGGGCTAAATGGCCATGTTTAAATTTTATATTGTAATGTTATAAATTATGAAAACTCATTTGATTTTTGTGTATTTTTTATAATTATTTAAAAAATTAAAATGTAATAAATTATGCTGATTTTGTGACTAAATTATTACTAACACTAGTGAGTACAAGGGAAGTATTAGAATATTAAAACTATTTTATTATTCAAATTTAAACCACAACATTACTCAGCACTCATCAACTAAGTTGTAAAATATTTAATTAATACTTAAAGGTATCAAATATGTTTGTTAAGTAGAATGGCGTATTTATGATTTCCTTCTGAGGGTGATGTCCAGTTCATTAAATTAGTAATCTAATATCGGGTCATTAAATAGTTAACCGACACTATCTCATTGTTACTAAATGAATGTATAATATAACAAAAGATCAGTTCAATACATATATAAAATACATTTTGGCTCATAAATAATTAATTACATTTCGGTGATAGTAGTCTAACCAGACATAAATATATATCTTTAAACGTCTATAATCTATGTTGTATCCAGCCACCTTTTTTAAAACTAATATTATTACGTTGAGTTGTTATCCAGTTGTTATTGAGTTAATATTACAGGGGAAAATAATACGATATACGCTAGAGCAGCCACTAAAAAGTAAAGGATAATGGTAATCAATAAGTAGGTTAGATATTACCATTGATTAAATACAATCACCGAAAATAATATTATAGTATTTAGATTTCAGTAATATTAGATCTTATTAAGTGAAGAAGTACCTATTATTAACAATCTATTATCATTCTTTTTTTCTTTTGGAACATTCAATCATTGGTGTTTTATAGGTACGTGAAATGATTAGAAACAAGCTGATGGATTTAGAAATCCACCTTGATTTGAAGTTAAACACTGAACCGTGGTATAATTTAAAATACCGTAACCGCATATTTTTGTTATAGTGATAACTGATAATGCAGCATCCAAGAACTTTTGATCATTATATAACTAACAACCAACAGTTATATCGATTTGCCTTTTGGTAATATTTTGATTTACTGCAGTTAGCGTATCAGCTTAATGCTTATTTAATCTTCTTAAATTAAAATGCCTACCGAGTACCGATATCAGCTATTAAATAATAAATATATATATTTGTATCTAATTCATACTTGTTTGGTACTTTTATAGTCGCCTAAAATTCAAATATTTACTTGTCACTTAAACTTAAGAGGCTGGTCATGGTTGGCGATTCAGATTATAATGTACATAAGTATGTATCAACATCATTATTATTAATATTGGGCATTGTTTATTTTTATTTTGATAACAATAATTACGTGCGATATGTTTATTTATAGGATTCAAACCATTTCACTGTATGATTCATCATGAAATGCGAGTGCAAATATTTTACTAGATATGGCCAAACATAAATGTCCTTATGATAATTGTATGTTAAGTTTTAGTCGTCCATACCGCCTAAGAATACACATTCAAAGACATCAAGGAATTAAAGAATTTAGTTGTTCACAATGTGACCGTAGTTATCATAGACAGCAACATTTGAAACGTCATGTAGATGAAGCTCATCAAAATAAATCTCGCCTTGAGCAGCCAATACCATGTGATCATTGTGATCGGCAATTTAACACAACGTGGGGTCTACATCGCCACCAGGCCAAAATAAAAAATCCTAAAGTACGCACCAGAGAACATAGTTGTACTATTTGTGGTTGTAAATTTTTCAACCATGATGAGCTTGAAAGGCACTCTCTTCGACATGAACGCTTCAAATGTGATATTCCTATGTGCCCTTTTGCCACTCGATTATTCAATTGGACAGTTTATTTTAAACATATGGAAGATTACCATAGTGAACCTTTTGAATGTGATTATTGTGGTGAACAATTTGTCCGCAAGGCTCAGTTAAGAACACATATTCAGACACATATGCCTAATTTCCCGTGTACCATTGCAGGATGTAATAAGACTTACGCTTTAATTAAAAATTTATCAAATCATATTCGTAGTGTTCACGGTAACAGGACTTATAAGTGTAATGTAGTTGGATGTGACTGGAATTTTAAGTATAAAACTTGTTTCAAGAGACACATTAAAGTACATGAATCAAATGGAAGAATTGTTCCTATGGCCGAGAGAAAAGTACAAAAAAATAAAAACAAATCAAAATGTGTTATGGCAGAGAAATTAGCTGCACTAGCATTTAAAATATAACCAAATCATAAAAAAAAAATGTAAATTATTATTCACAAATATAGTACAATATTATTCATTTGTTATTTAATTAAATAATTTGTTTAAGAAATTGGTCCTAGACTCTGGTTCTAATTTACTAGGTTTTTTAAGTAACACTTCCTCTTCAGGTAGTCTCTGTTGAACATTCATTATAATATTTGATTGTTGAGACATCTTGTACTTTTCACTTCTTATAATATTGGATGAAAAGTGATTGGCTTCTCTTTTAACCTGAGAGACTTCAGCTCTAAGACGATGTTTGCGTACAGCTTTTTCATAAGCAAGTCTTTCATTTAAGTGGATCCATTTGAATCTAAACAAACAAATGTACTTTTCTCGTTTTACAAATACTATATGATACAGGCTTATCCTAATTTTATATTACAGTAATTTTGTCTGAAATAATGATAAATATAGCTAGGAAGAACTTATGGTATAATGGTAAAATTGTTACTATTTAAATAAATAAAGGCCCATTATAAGAATATAAGTTAGTTACCTAGGTAAATACTTTAAATTCCAAATACTATCAAAGTATTTGCTTCGTTTGCGTGAATCAATCCTTTTTCCATTTAACAACTCTGCAACTTGTTTTGCAATTTTCTTTCTTTCAAATTCTATCCAACCTTCAGTAAAATGTTTAGCAGGTCTTTTTTTTAAATTGGCTATAAAAATAATAATTAATAATACCTAATATCTTTAGTGTAGGAAAGAAAATTATTTTACGATTTGTAGCTGGTTGTAAATAAACTCTGCCAATTTCTCCATATTCACCCAACAGCTCTCGAAGTTTCGTCACATTCATATATTTTGGTATAGACGAAATGTATATTATCCCTTTTTTCTTTTTTTTCAAACTTGAATTCACTGACGATAATGATGCTGTTTCACAATCACTCATAATAAATTACTTTAAAGACACAAACTTATATTGCTAATAGTGATATAACAAAAATTTTATATTTTATTGAGAACACTAATTTCAGAAAGAAAACTGTATAAATTTCATATTTACTTTTGAGTTTTTGTTATAAGTAAAAAAAACAGAAATCTTGTATTGACTAATGATTAATGAATAATTTGATAAGACGTAACCACATGGCACATAACCACCGCCTTATCTTCTTAGGGCATGCCATGATTGAAATATACAAGGTTATTGTACATATACCCCTTCTTCATCAAATATTCGATGATAAAAACAATAATGTCAACAATATATATTATTTTTATAGGTCTATTTTGTTTTGAATGCGCGACTGGTCATGATCTTATTTTGATTCGAGTATATGGTTTATATACAAGGCTAACAACAGCTGCTGCAGTGCTATAGTAAATTTATTTACCATTATTATTTAATCAGTAGTCAATAGTTGTTGGTTTGTTATCAGTAAACAAATCAGATTTTCAATTTGTTGTTGATCACATTTCCATTTTTTGTCACTAAGTCTTATTAAAAAACCACAATTTTTATACAACAAAACAATAACAGTATAATAGTTTAAAAATTTCATTATGGATCTTTTAAAAGCGGAATTAGAAAAAAAGAGAAAACAAATAGAAGACTCGAATTTAGTTGTAAGTGATAAGAATTGTACTGCGAGTATTACAACTATTACATCTTTTTCTTTTTAAACAAATATTCTGAATTTTAGAAAGATGGGCGTAAGTATTTTAAAAGATCAGACTTGATATCAAAAGAGCGGGAAGAGTATCTAAAAAAATGTACCATTAAGATTAAAGGGTTAGACAATCCTATAGAAAATCAATCTCTAGGTAAGTTAAATATTATTTATAAGTCTTTGAACAATGTTCATTTATTTAAGACATTGATTGTTTAGCAGTTGTAAGGAAATATTTTTTATATATCTTCATAATATTTAATTTTTCTAATTCCTTATAAGATAGTTGTTGATTTGGCATATTTGCTGTTAACCTACAAAAATGTCTCTCAAAAGAACGGTACTGTGCAGAAACCAAAACGTGTCATTCCTGTCTGCACAGATTAAAATGCCTTAAATTTCTTGACAGGAGCATATCCAAATAATAATTTGTTAGTGGCATAACATTAAACTGGTGACTGTGTTTGAAGCCCTAAACCAAGTCTACGTAGATACTATTATTAGTACTATTAACATTATTAAAGCTACATTAAATATTGTTTTTATAATGGCAAGCAAGTTCCAAGTGAGTACGATGAATCAATACTTGTTAGGATAGGTTTCTTTTCTTGTTTGTATTGAAACTAAAAACACAATAGGTAGAAGCTGTCTCTCATGAACTATCGCCATATGAACAAAAGGACTAATAACTATTGTTTGACGTTTACTATGCAAGCATGATAGTGAGTCGTAAAAGTTATAGCATTGTTTATAAATACTATTTATAATATTTATATTCAATGGTGATAGTATCTAATATCGAGATTTTATTTCTCTTTTGATGTTAAAACACTGCTGCTCAATTTTGGGTTCTTTCTCTTGAAAGATCCAAGTTCTATTATCTTTAATAGAACTATTTCTGCTATGAGTGATTGGTTGTATATAATATACAACATATTATTAGTTACAGTACACAATGTTAGTTTTAAATATGAATTCATAAAAAATGTAAGCAACTGTATACACATCAAACCAGTTCAAAACAATTTACTACTAATAATTCATTTTACAATTAGGATGTGGCGATGAAAGTAACAATACTACATCTGAGAAACATACATTATCAAGAAAAGAAGTTGTTCGACGATTACGAGAACGAGGAGAACCAATTACTCTTTTTGGAGAAACAGAATTGGATTCTTTTAAGAGACTGCGTAGGAATGAACTTGCTGAGCCGGAGTCAAATAAAGTATATATAAATAAATATATACCGGACGATTCTTTTAATGCTCTACACCAGTATTCTCTTAAAATTATTGCAATTTTATAATTTATCTTTTTGAAAAATTTTTGTATTTGCTATTTTAAAATATTAGACAGTATTAAAATTGTTATCTTATTTAGTATTTTCTAAAGCTTTAGCAACTTTTGAAACTTAAACGATAACATATACGTATATAATTTTTAAAAAATATATGCTGAAAATGTTGACAGGTCGATAATCAGTTTTGAATAAATAGTTTTAGTTATTAAAGTTAAAAATTTAGAAACGGAGTCCCCCTACGGGATGAAATGCGGTTGAGTAATAACTCACTTCTCTTTTCTTCCAATCCCAAATTTTAATCTCATATAACAGGGGTGGCCACTAACCTTAATTTTGGGAGCCTAAAATTTATAAAGCTAATTCGAAGCGAGCCACATTGTTAAGAGATGTTTATTAAATGAAGAAATGAAAATTTATTAATTTTACTCTAAGCTTGGTTTAAGAGATGCACGAAGCTGATTTAAGAGCCTCGTTGTGGCCACTCCTGTTATATAACTAAAACTATTGGTTCAAAACTGGTTATCGACCAGTTTTGCACATTTTCAGCAAATTATTATCATTTTAAAAATGTTTAAAAGTAAACATTTGGATATTGTCTATTATTTTGTTATATAACAAACAAGAATGTTTTCTTAAAGAATAACTACAAAATTACAATTATTTGAAGAATAAACTTGTGTAGGGCATTAAACGAATTCCCATTATATTGATTGCTTTGATAACTATTTACAAAATACATTTTTTTTAAATTTTGTACTTAGGGTTTCAGAAACGATTTTCAAGAAGCTCTGGAAAAAGTTGACCAAGATTATTTAGATGAACTAATGACAAATCAGACAACTGAGAAAAACTGCACAGAGTTGGAAAGTATGGAAGATGCAATGAAAACTTATGAAACTATTCAGTCTAAAGCAGGTATATTAGGAAGAAGACGTGATCGAACTCAAGATATGGAAATAATACTTCAGTTGTTACAACTGTTATTGAAAATGTGGGAAGTTCAGCTTAATGCAAGATCAGTTAAAGAAAAAGCTAGTACTAAAGGAAAATTAGCATTAGCTACTTATAATCAAACACAACTTTATTTAAAACCACTATTAAGAAAGTTAAAAAATAGCAGTTTACCAGATGACATTTTAGATAGTCTTACACTTATAACTAAACACATGTTAGAAAAAGATTATTTAAGAGCTAGTGATGCTTATTTAGAAATGGCAATTGGTAACGCTCCTTGGCCTATTGGAGTTACTATGGTAGGTATTCATGCTCGTACTGGACGAGAGAAAATTTTTTCTAAAAATGTTGCACATGTACTCAATGATGAAACTCAACGTAAATATATTCAAGCATTAAAACGTTTGATGACTAAGTGTCAATATTTCTTTCCAACTGATCCATCAAGATGTGTAGAATATGTACCAGACCCAAAATAAAATGATTTACTATAAACAATAAAATATATAAATATCTAATATGATAATGTATGATCATCTTAACTATAATAACCATGTATAAATATTATTTGTGTAAACTGATTTAACTATAACTAGTATATTCTCTGAGTATATAATTTTAAATAACAATCTTGTGGTTTATTTTGTTATTTCTTTTCTCCAATTTCTTTTGACTTTTTGGTAGCAGCTTCAATTGCATCCATTAGAGCAGATCTATTTAATTCAAATATTTGTATATTCAAATAAACTATATCAACATTTCAAGTGTTTAATATTAATAAATAATGATAAATTATACCTAACACCTCCTTTTTCTAAAGCGTGTAATGCAGCAATCGTAGATCCTCCAGCAGATGTGACCATATCTTTGAGTTGTGCAGTATGTTTGCCGGTTTCCAAGACCATACGACTTGATCCTGCTAAAGTACTAGCTGCCAATCGTACTGCTAAGTCTCTTGGTACACCTTGTTTTACAGCACCATCTGCTAAAGCTTCAATGATCAAAAATGTCTAAAAGAATTAGAATATAAAATATGGCTACATTTCTTTTAATTTTTAGAAATATAACTTTTTTTTAAATTTTACTAATAAAACATATTTAAATTACATACATAAGCAGGACCACTTCCTGATAATGCTCCTACAGCATCAATCAATGTTTCTGGTATAACTTCTGTTTTCCCAACAGCATTCATTAATGATATAACGGTTGGCAATGTTAATGACAGTTCTTCTGGTTGTGCACAGGCTTCAGAGCAAATAACTAAGACGATAATTTAATATTTAAAATATATGTTTGAAAGATATTGATCTTTTTTTTATTATTATTGTTAGGGCATAATACTCTCTAGTTTTTTCCTTAAGTTAATATTTATAATTTGTAACTAGATCAAGAATCTTTTGTAAACAGAAAAAATACAAAAATTGAAAAACTTTGGTTGGACTTGGAAAGTCAGAAGAAAATATAACATGGATACACACATACTATGTTCTTAACAAAAACATATTGTTGAGAATACCTGAGAATCCTTCACCAATGAGACTTGGTGTATTAGGCATGACTTTAAATACACGACTGGGCTTTAAGTTTAAATTAGAGTTGGCCACAAATATCTATAAATTAAAAGAATAAAAAATAAAATAAATTATAGCTATTATATTATAAGTCAATAGGATTAACTAATACAAATTGAATATAATAGTTTGAATAGTATATTATTTTACCTTATTTAATACTTGACAGGGAATTCCAACCATAATAGATATGATAATATTAAGGGGTAAACCTTGAGATTTGAGTTTTAATTCATTAACAACTTTTGGGAAATATTGAGGTTTTGTAGCCAGAAATAATATTTTACAATTACAAAACACTTTATCTGCAAAAAAAGCTTATTAATAGTGGTTATTATTTCAATAAAAAATGAAAGAAATTAATTTACTATTGTCAATTGTAACAGAAACTCCAATATCTTTCCAAGGTTTTTTATTATTTTCAGATGGTGCAGATACAATTATATCATCTGCTTTACATATCCCTATAACATAATACATTTATTATAACTATGTTCGAAATAAAAAGTTGAAATTGTAAAAAATATATAATTCTTAACAATTAAAATAAAATATTAATTATACCAGTAAGGAGAATATTTTATGAATTTGAGGAATTCAATGTTCATTAAATATATACCACATAAATAGTTTATTGTTATTTAGACATTACATAAACATGTATCTTACAGATTAAATGTGTACAAAAACTTATATTGTATAATACTATAATAGTAACAAATATCGTATTACACTAACTTATTAAGTAAAGCTAAAAAATCAGAAAACTCGTTATAAAAAGTAATACCCTAATTTATATATGCTTACTAGTTACTTTAAAATGAATGAACGAACTGTATAACCTCATTACCTGTCTGGTTTACACAGGCAATGGGGTGTTTTAAACCTCCCTAGTCCTTGTTATTCCAAGTTTTTTATATTGCTATAATAGCTAAGAAATGTTTCCGAATTACCTTTAGAGACAAATGCTAGTCCAATGGCTTGAGCCATATTTCCAGCTCCAATAAATCCGATTTCGTAGGTTTTAGCCATTTTTTTTTGTTCTCGACTAGAAATGTAAGTGTTACAATTTATTTTATGACGCAATATCGTAGGAATTTTTGGTCATTTGAACGATAGTAATAATAATAATTGTATCATTTTAGTTTCACACTCATCAGACATTATTATTTAATTTACTTATCTAAAAACCAAATAATTTTATATACTATAGTCTATATACATATTTGTTAGTTGTCAGTTGATATTGTCTCTGAAACTTCGAAATTGAAATACGTTTGTCATCTGATACGGATATACGATTTGAATATTCTCGTCTATGAATTTAATAATTACGAATCGATCATATTATCTTGATCATACCTTTGATATTATTTTTATTATTATAAACGTTATCAGTCAGATTTCAGGTGAATAGAATCGCTGTAATTATCTTAGTTTCCATGGGTTTTGTAAACTATTCCATGATCTGTGACGTCTGAAATAAACCAATCATAGTTATTCATAATATATCAATTTCTCCTACTCAACTCCCGTTAGTCCATCGCTGGACGTGTAATTTTTTTAGAAAGTCGAAAAAAGTTGTTTTTCTTTTTGTTTATCTCTTCTTGTTTTTTTAGAATTTATATTAAAATTTTCATGAACTTTGTGGTAATTACTAGTCGAGCGTGTGATTCCGTCTAAGTATTTCTAATATTTTTCTTCTACAATTCGTATCGTTATAATTACAATACGTACGTTAATATACATTTTTTTAACGTTTTTATCAATAGCAAATGTATCATAATATTTGTAAATCCTACGATATCTATAATAATCGTTTCGTACAAATGACGGCGCTTAGCAACCTCAATACGGAAACCAATATCGCCCGTTAATAAGTAATAACGTCAGTCATAATATTACTTAAATTTTGTTTATAAAATTCGTCACTTTTGAAGTCGCATTACGGTTGTTGTGTTTTGTGGGCGCGATTCAAGTATTACATACGAACGCAGCATCTGTAGTGTGTACTTTCCACAGCTGCGAGGCATAGAATTGTAACCGCTTCGTTCTGAATCTGTGTCAATGAATGCTGGTGAGTTAAAATTTGTTTTATTTTTATTGCCTATATCTTATTAGGCATTTGTTATTTTTAATAATATGTATTTATGCTATTTTATAATGTTTTTTCTTCGCTGATTACGAATCTGAAGTCAGAAATCTACAAACTCTAGTCAAAAGAAGTTATTGTAAATTTAATTTGGAGATTTACTTTGCGTGAGAACTGCTTCCTAACCCAGTCATAGCGAGCTGGGGAATTTAGCCATTAGTGACGCGATAGATGCATGTGCTCATTATTACATAATCAAACTCTAAAGATTTAATTTAGAAGTGTCCAAAAACCTACAATTTTAGATTTGGAACAAATTCACTTTACTGACACCCTTTTTTTGCCATATTACAGTGTTTTTGTGCTGAAGCCAAAATTAGGCAGACTCATTTAGTTCAAAAGTTATAGCAACTTGTAATTTGCATATTTCCGCATATATATCAATAGCTGTAAGTGCTCGCTTCTTCATTAAATGGTTATGATCATTTTTAGTACTACTAATTCAAAATTGGAGTTTTTGAGTATATCTTGCCCCCCTTAAATTTGCGACAATGATCAGTTAGATTTAACAACTGCCTTGACTATTTGCCTCTATTTGTTAACTTTTTATCGTGTAGTAAATACTGTACCTGGTTGAACTGCAGCATTTAATTTATTTGCAGGCAACATAAACTCTTGGTTTGTGTTATATTTTTTGGACAAAGTTTTTGTATTATCTTTGAGTTATTATATAAAAATAAATTTATGGTGAAAAAGTGGTAAATATTATTTGCCTAGTAGTGAATAATCTAATTCTGATAGAGTAGTTAAAAATATAAGATTGGGTCTTATAATACCAGTTTTGACTTTTTATTTAGAATGTTCAGGCATAACATGTCTGGGCTCAAGGGTTTTTATTATTATCTTAATAGTTTATACTTACTAAAAAATATGTAGGTATACAAATGAAGTAAAGTTAGTAACATACAGCCATAAAATAAGTTAATTTTGGTTACCAACTTTAAGCATTTTTTTCCTTTTAATTATTTACATTGGTGTCATATGTTTATGAGTAATAAACATATTTAATTGTACACTACCAATAACAACAACTACTACCTATATTTATATAATTTCTTGTTCAATTTTTTTTTTTAAATTAGTAATTATAATTATGTTAATCATGTACTATGGGATAATCTTATTATTAATAGCTTATAAATATATAATGATAACATTTTTTAATTTAGTTTTCTGCTCTAAACACTTAGGGCAGGCATTGACATGTAACTAAGTAATGTTATCATTGTCAATGATTCATAATTTATAGTCCATTGAGTTGATTCATTTTAATAATAAATATATGAATATTTGACATTGTAAATATGTACATATAATAAAAGTGTACATGTATGATGTATTCATTTTGTTATCATTTTTTTAAAAATATTGTAGACATTAATTTGTTTAACTGTGTTATATTACATTGTGTTTTAGATTAACTATTTATAACATTAATTAAAATTCAATTGGTTATTTAATTTTTTGTCCTTCTGACATTTATTAAAATTTTCATTTTTGACAGTTTCAAAAACATTTCATTGATTGATGATTGAAAGTATTTTCATCAAGACATTATTAAATATTTTTATATGGTTTCTGAATGAAAAACTGTTAAAATTTGTTTTCTCCTGCCTATTAGCTAATAAATGTTAATATTATATAACATTTCTTAGGGTTAAATTAGGATAATACTTAGGGTTGAAGTTGGCTATAAGAATGTATTAGTAAAAGAAAAAACTTGTGCTTAAGAGGGGGGGGGGGGTATGGTTAATTTGTGAATTTTTTTTGACGACACAGTTAAAATATGTTTATTAAAACTAATGGTACATTAAAGTATAACATTCGAAGAATATTGTGTAATATTTTCATGTAGAAATATTAAAAAATACGGCAATGGCGGCAATTATTCGGAAGCGTCTCGGAAAAAAGTAGAATTGCGGTGCCCCTCATAACTCGATGCTGGATCATCCGAAATTAAAAAAATCAAGTTCTTTCGTTAGATAATTGCTTTCCCCAGGTAACACTGGGAGGGTTTTTTGAAATTTTAATTTTTCACTTTTTGGGAACACTTTAAAGGGAAAAACGCGATTTTTGCGAAAAAAATCGGCTAATTTGTTATTGTAAAATAAAAAATATTAACAAATTTGAATAAAGTCTCCAGCGTTACCTCGTTAGTTATGTACTGAAATAGTGTTCAAAATTTTAAAACGATCGGTGTAGTAGTTTTGAAGTTATGGTGGTCACCGACTTTGAAAACGTGAGTTGTGGGAAAAACGCTTTAAAGTTAATGATACTTCGCTCGGGCCGGCAGCTATAAAATTCCGACAACTCATAACGTCGTCAATTTTGTTCCAATCGACTTGAAATTTTGACACAACATTCTTGAGGTATTTTGCATTCAGTTAACAAAAAAAAAAAAAATTTTAATACCCAACCCCCCCCCCTTAATTTATCCGCGGTTATGAATTTGAGTCTTTATCACAATATATATATGGGATATCAACACTCTGGCCAGAAGGTAAGAACAACTAGTATTTAGACAAATATAAGTATTGAAGCTTGGTTATGTAAGAGTTTAAAGGTGTTGAAGAAGACATTGTAGCAAGCAGTGGCGTTCGCAGGATTTTTTCAAGGAGGGTGTCATAGTATACACAAATTGATGACCTTTTTTTTTTTTGCTCATCACTCTAAAAAATCTCCTCCTTCCACTATGTTATAATAGTATAATCAATAAAAATAAAATAAATACAGTAAAATAAAAGAAAAAATGTATATATTTATATATATATTTGATAAATACACACACATATAATCATAACATCAAATAAATATTGTATGCATAGTTATAAAAAAAAGTCAGTGCGACGGTTTTTGTTTTAAAAGATACTTAAAACAATTTAAGGGGGGTGTCATATCTCCCTGACACCCCCCTCCCTACGTACGGCACTGGTAGCAAGTAGAATAAATAAATACATGGCATGGAAAGATACAAAAGGAGTCAGCAGTGGCTAAGTTTGGAAAAAGATAAGGTCTGCAATCATTAAAAAAAAGGTCTATTAAAGTAATCGTTTACCAGCAAGACACCATTTCAGATTTTTTATAGGATGCCAAAATTTAAATAGGCCTTTTTTTTTATCATATTTTTGATAAATTTCCTACCAATAGGTTGTTAAGTTTTAAAATATTAAATAATAATTTACTACTTAGTATTAGTGTATGGCCAATTTGGATAGAAATGCTAGAATTCAGTCGGTGTATAATTTTGAGGTAAATCTTTTGATTTTTTATTTATATATAAAATTAACAAATTTTTTTCAGGTTCATTATAGATTTTACCCACAGATATATATATATAAAACTAGATGCTAACTGTACATGCCACCAATAGAGAAGATTGAAGCAGCCACTTTCCCCCATATCATAATATTATACTCAAGTGTGGAACTAGGTGTAATAATTGACAAGTCTTTGGTTAATTATTTAGGCAAACATATGGGGGAACAATGTTGCTATCTCTAAAATTGTGCCTCTATAGATTTTAACAAATTTAATATATATATATAACTATTTAACTTCCCTTGACAACTTGACACAACTAGTTAAAGGCCAAAGAATTTGTTTTATTATAAAATAATGTATGTATAATTTATCAAAATACTTAAATTACAGATTGTAACCATTTTAAGAAAAATTTTGGTTTTAACCAGTTTAAACCAGCATTATTTTAATTTTTTTAACACAAGCCACTCAACATTTCATAGGGTTTTATAAGAAATTAAAATTTGTTTTTTCATATTGTTTTTATACAATGTGATCTCAATTTTTCACAATTTTTTTTATTTTTACCCACCTCCCAACTTTTTGATAGCAACTTTTGAAACTTAAATGGTAACATATATATTTTATTGACTTTTTAAATTGAGAATAATGTACTAAAAATGTTGACTGGTTGATAATCAGTTTCTGATAACTATTTTTAAAGTTTTAAGAGTTTTAAAGTTTATTAGTACTCAATGTTTCTAACCTAGTTTTATTTGTTTTAATTTGCATATAATTGTAGAATTGAATTATTTTTATGCAAATCTTTAGGAAAAAAAAAGTAAAAACCATTGCCTTCTTAGCTCTTCATCTTATGTCTAAAACAGTCTCAAGTAGTAAATTCAAACCTTAGATGGTAGTTTTCATATAACTTTTAATAATATGTTTGTGTTCAATTTTATTACTACACTATAAAATAATGGGTGAACTATATGTATCGTTACTACTGATACCCCAACAAAAACACTTAATGGTGCAGTGATATAAAGTGAGAACCAGGTAAATATGAAATATCATAATGTAATACACACTGTTGCGGGTTGCCAACAGATAAAGTCTTGTGTAAGTTATGTAAATACCTTTACCAGTAAATAACATTATATGTACATATCAAAAGAGTCTTGTAAAAACCGAAATTTAGGCCTGTTTTCTTACTTTCGACAATCTACTACAATTAACTAAACTAACAAGGTTCTTTTATTGAAGTACAGTTTATTTTGTTGTAGTTAAATATTTGAGGTTCTCAGAACACAAGAATTGTAAGTGAATTACTTGAATTTTGAAATAATCAAGCTCAAAGTTCATGTATTCTCACAAATCACAATTATGGACGTCATCTGTAAATCTTAATCTTTCTATTTTTATATAGAATGGAAAATTTGTAGTTCATTTGCACATAACTTATATTTAGTACAAATTTCACTTCTATTCCTTGTAAATTATAATCTGGATGCCTTATATATTATTTATATGTACATATTCTATTTTAATTGTACAGATTTTAATCAACTCTTCAATGTAAAATAATTTTGCATGACTTTTTCTTCTCAACTTTGATACAATTTAATCCAAAACTATATTTAACTAATAAATTATTATAAATAGAACCATATGAAATGATAATTAGAGTATTAGTTTGCGCTTATGCAAAATAACATAAAACATTATGTCAGAATAGGATTGAACATCAATCGTAAAGACGAAGTCTAGACCAAGTTGAATATAATGGTAAAACATTTTAGTTTTCGTGACAAATGAAGTACTTTTTTTTTTATATCCTGTCATCGTATAATACGTTTGAAACATTAAGAGAATTTTTTTCTTTGTTTAGAATGACGATGCTATTATTCTCGGTAATAAATTAATAGTGTCATTAATTTTTTACTACCTTTGTTTAATTCGGTACAAACGTTACATAGTATTTTTTTAAGAAGTTGTATTTGATAAAAAAAAATCTACTGATAAGGTTTCAGAAAAAATATTACATTGTTGTTTCTATTTATAATTATCGGTCGGGGACTTAAAAGTATTTTTCCTACATATTAAAAACATCGTCAACACTCAACCTTAATTCATTTGTTCGTTCATGTTTGGTTTGGATACTTGTGTTCGACTGGGTCGCCTCAGGAAAGAAAGGTACATGTTGTATAGAATCCGAAAGCGTGAATAAAATGGCACAAGAAACATCGCACATTATGGCAATGGCTCCATCATCAACGTGACTCACGCTGACCGGACTAACGACTAATTTTTCTTTATTGCAATCACCCACATTTTTTTTTATTGAGAGGCAAACATAAAAACCTTCATGTAAGATTGAGTAAGGGACGTATAAAATAAAATGTTGAAATTCCATGTATAAATACAGGCATTTTAATGTTTTTCTATGTTGATTTTGTTTAGATGACATAAATGATTGAGTAATGTTTTCAAGTACATTAAGTAAGCTAAATAATTGAAGCGATGTTTACTATCATTGATTATTAATTAATAATACTACCTAACAGTACAGGCATTATTATAATTTATTATTTAGCAATTATAATGCATTATTATAATGCATTCGTACCAATAATGTAAACCAACTCTTTGTTTATGTGAAATTCTAATTTCGTTAAGGCTATTTAATACAAACGTCGTAGTATGAACAGTTGTTGAGCTGTATTTACGGAAATCGAGTATCCTGGATTTCGAATGGCTTCGTTAAAAAGAAAAAGAAATTATTTTAAAGTATCGTCTGTTTTAATAGCAACACACCAGTAAGCAACTTGTGTGTGTGTCTGTTTAATTGTGATATAGTCTATAGACTATAGTTGCAAACGGGTTGATTACTTTTAAGCTGGTGCTACACGATTGAAAATGTTTTACCCTATTCATAACACGATTGCAAACAATTATCAAAAAAAAATTAATCGAACGATTTTTTGTGTGACGTCAAATTGTGTAACAGTTTAAAAACACAATAACAAAAAAAAAAAAAAAGGTATTGAAATATAATATATTTTTTTCATAGATATTTGTAAAAAATATTTGTTATTTAAATGAAATGAAACCAAATTTTTTTCTATTAATTATTATACTATGTAGACAACATCTCATTTTCTCCCATAACATTTCGCCACTGGAAAATGGAATGGAAAACTTAAAAACCATTTTATATCAATGTGGAAAATAACTATCATAATTACGACAACGTTGCATGAAAGTTAGCGGGTAAAATCTTCCACAATAACAATAACGTGTTCTTCTCATTTTAAGCAATTTTTTGCGTGAGTGACATCGATAGAAGAGCTTTTGATTCATTAACTTCTTAAACCTCCAAGAAAAAAATTACTGAATATTTGACTGTGTAGAGTCCTATTATTAAATCGTGTAACTGATAGGCATACAATACAAATATTCGTATAAATGTGTTTAATCAAAGCTTAATGACATACCTATTTTATATTTTTCAATGTTTTATGTGTACATTGTCAACTCTTAAAAGCCTATTTATTTATCTTCCAATGTTTATTTTGGCGCAAATCGAATCGCTTTGATGTATTCATGTAGTTTACTAATAGTATACATTAGTTTACAAATCTATTGTATCTTTTTGTTACTAATGAATTCAAGATATTTTCATTTTATTCCGATTTGTTTGTGTACTACAATATCATAATTTACGTATTTTTTTATTTGCGTGTTCTAAGTGGGCTGTAGCTGTTGAGAAACAGTTTTCAAAAACAGATATGTAACAGATACTAATACTGTATGTGCATTGAGTGCTGGGATTGTCATTAAACGTGTACAGCCGTTCACACTGGAAAAAACTCCGGGCAGCGAGGTCTAACAGCAATACGTTTATAAGTGATAAAATAACAAGAAAACGCCTTCAATTCACATTTATATTAGCATGAAAAAATTTACTTGTTAGAAAAAAAGCATTTCAAATGTTACAGTACAATATTTTGCAGGACTCAGGGGCACCGTTTAGGGGGGGGGGCATAGGGGCCTAGAAATTTTACTTTTTTATTTTTGACAGCATGCGTTGTCGCCATTCGGTTAGTTTGAAGTTTAATAAGATAAATAATAAATTCGGAAAACAATTCAATTATTAGTTGTTTATACAATTTTTTTCTTTGAGAAAATTGTATTGAAATCTAAGAATCTAAAAAATTTTGCTTATTAAAATGTGAAACATATCATTGATTGTCCTCTGGTTCATTGGTATTTGGTAAACATTCTATGGGTTACAGTTAAACCAATTTTTTTGTTTATAAACATTAAAATTTTAATAATAATAATAATTTTGTCTTGATAGGAACTTAAATCTATATAAAAGGTGATCATTGAAAATATTTGGTTTGGTTGTCGCCCCTGCATAGGAACGTGAAAACTTATATATGTACACATTTATGCATATCAAAAAATATTGGCCCATTGTGGGCAAAGAACTAAAGCCGCCACCGGCAGGACTGCTCATTTTTCTTTGCTCATCGACTCAACTACAAATTTCCTTTAAAATTTCCGTGATACATTCCTACCCTGTCAATTGATTTATTAGCTTTAAGAAAACTACGTAGGTTGTATGAAAAACCCGTGTGTATCAATAGTATAACAGAATCATGAATTTTAATAAATAAAAGTATTTTCTTAGACATTTTTAAACATCTTATCTTTAACCATATGTCGTTTGTCTTTTGCTAAACTGGTGGAACGACCATAAATCATGCTATTGAAATTGCGGTATCGTATGCATTTTTTTATATAATATTCCACGTATGTCAAACACATTTTATGGCCTCGAGGCCAAAAATATATTTATTCTGTTCGATTATTCTTTGTTTTTCACACAGATGACAGAACGATATCGGGGTCGGTATCAGCAGACTAAATTTGTGTTGTTTTAAATGGACAATTTTCACATTAACTCCGAACCTATACAAATATCGTTTTAATACGAAGATATTAGTTTGCATGTCTGACAAACGACCAAGATTGGGCGATTGTTTTTTTCTTCGATAATATTGTTTTGTGTAAAAACGTAAGAGAGAATTACAATTTGATAAATTTGCTAGTGTTGGAAGAATTTTTTTGTTTGGAATTTGAAAGAAATACATTTTTCAGTTTCTAACATACTTCTATTTACAAAACGTATGTGTTTGATTATTGTGAATTGATAAATAATGATTAAAGAAATCAGTCTTAAAAAGTAATCATTATCAGTGTTAAATATTATATCGGGCTTTCAGTCAAAAAATTAAAAAACGTATCTTATCAGTTTAGCGTCGAAACTAAATCATAACATTTGCGTTAAAATTATCCTGTCAATTACTTATTAGCATTGTGTATCACTATAATGTACAAAATGCAAATATCTCTACAACACTTTCGATTGCTGTTAGTAGTAACTCTAACGTACAATTGTAGGTATACGCGATTAGCCAGACTACTTTCTTCTTATGTGATGATCGAAAGAAAGTCTCGTTGTTACGTATGTACTTAACAGTTAACATATTCAACTGCGAAGTAATCTCATTTAATATGCAGCTAAAACGTTTTGATTAAGATAATTTTACTGTATGGTTTTCTGTAATATCTCTGCAATACACATACACGCCGACTAACTAAATGTTTAAATTCTAAAATCAATTATTCACCACATGAACTTTTCTTACATGTATGGCTATTAGAATACAATATATTTTTAAGTTTTATTGATAACGGAAATAATGAATTTTCACGGTTTATTGTTTTGTTTAATAACAGTACACGTGTATCACGATTGGTGGTGACGTTACCTCTGCGCTTAAACGTATAATTAATTACTCAGTATCATTGATTATTACTTATTAGATATATTTTAAAGTCATTGCTTAATATTGAGCTTTATTTTGGATAGAATTCGATTAATTAAAAATGATTGGCTGATTAACCCAATTCTTTTGCCCGCACGAATGGGATAACATAGCAACGCGATAGTAGAAAGTAATATTTATAGTTCGATCGATAGACGAACCACCCAAAAGTCATTAACCCAATAAAATTATTCAGATCTAGTTCATATATTTTTTAGTAATATACATGCTATATGTGTGTAGGTACTTTTTTTATATTTTAAGCAATTGTAATAGTCGATGACATTGTTCTCAATGCCAACGTCTATGTATAATAATAATAAGTATAATCTAAATTCGCGATACACAGGTATATAATAAAATATTTTTATTGGTCAAGGTGAACGCCAACTTTCACTAATCCGACCAACGTCCTGGCTGCGGCCTGTGGTGGTGCGAGCGTTCGTTCATCTTGTTCAGTATCGTTGGTGTACGCGAGGCGTTAGTATTGAATTGTTATTTATCAATAATATTTTGATATTTTACTCTGCCGCAGCCATAACGTTGTTCAGAAAGAAATATGTAGTGAATTAAAACCGTCGCAAAAAAATAAAAACGTGCGTGTGTGTGATTCATTAATTTTTATTTTTATTTTTGTGCCGTAGACAGTTCTAACGATAAGGGTTACGGTATGAGATCCAAATCGCTACAAGATTTACCGGAAGCCAGCTCTAGTGCGACCCCACCGACCCGTAAGAGACGTATGCCCAGATTTTCCCTGCGCCGGCTATTGTACTCTAACACATTTTTGGCCAGGCATTTGGGCAGCTCGCAGAACGGTAGGCGGCGGACTATAATCACAGGTAAGCTACATAATTTGTTTTAATGACTCACTTATGATGCGATAATGTAAATGCATTACACTGCTAATGTCAGATACTGAGAAGGGACCTTTAAAATACATAAAACACAGGAATACGATATAAAACATAATATAATTTATAATGAGACGATATAATTAAAGCTTATAGTCAATATAAATAGTATTTATTCCCGTCTAAACGAGGAGCAATTATTCAATAATGCTTAATTGTATTGTAATGATTAATACTAATACAATTTTTATATAAATTATTTATTTTAAATTATTATTAATATTTATTATAATAATTAATATTCAATAATTAAATTTTTTAAACTATTTTATGAAATATGTTTTATTGACTTATTTATAATTTATATACTATTTACTAAGTAAATAGTATAATATAATAGTTATTGTATAATAACATTAATATAATATTGTGCTAAACATTTGCTATTTCTCTTAAATTCCTTTTACGATGATTCTTTTTTTTTTAATTACATATCGATTTAAAAATAATAATATTGCTTTTTTTCACTATTATAAAACTATTGCACACTTTGTAAGCTAGATAAAGCATTGAGTAACGCGTGTCCGATGTGATATGGGAAACGAGAATGAGGCAGCTTGTGGATTGAACCGCCTACGCGTTTTTTGATTTAGGTGATCTTGAACTGTGGTAAAACAAAACAATCCGTCTCCCCGTCATTGGCCTACTGTATAATTATATTTTTTCTTTTTACACGTGATTAATATGTTAGTTAAACGTTAGCAGTTGTAAATATGCTAATAAATTATAAGTGATTATACCGTGAAAATATGTTTATTCCAATATAAATATTCTTTAGGCGGCCCTAGCGTAGCGGATGTAACCGATTTCGAGAAAGCGCCTTTGGGATTCAGTCAAAACTATGTCGACCCGAAAAAAGCTGTCCAGAATCCTAGTGTTGTCGTTAAGGTTTGTATTTTTATTTCCGTAAGTTTTTAGTTAATAGAAGGACATATCGATGAATCAGTTAGTGTGTCTTCGGTTGGGGGTAGGCCTACGTGAGTTTTTGCATGTGTTTACTACTGTCTTTTTATACATCTATTAATGTGAATTTTTAAAAATTCTTAACGTTTATACATAACACGCGTTTAGAAACTAAATTAATGATAATTTTGTTATTTAGTAAATATTTTTAGAGAAATTTAAGTAGGAACATATCTTGAGGCGCGTTTGATACCGCGTATACTTGGTATTTACTTCGTAATTAACAAAATAACAAACTTTCTCACGTTTTTCACGTGTTACAAAAATTACACAATATAATAGTAGTATACCGGGTGATTGGTTAACTATAGCCCAGACAATAACTTAGAAGATATTAGTCATGTGACTTTTAATTTTTTTTTATACTATATTTTATAGTTCAGACAAATTTAATATATTTAAAAAAATATAACCCCAATCCTTGTATGTTAAAACCGTATGAATTTTAGATTTTTGAATGTAAATGAAGGTAACTTTTTAAATTAAGAATAAATTGCTGGACACTGACTAGTTGATAACCAGTTTTGGATAATTAGTTTCAGTTATTAAAGTTTAAAATTTAGGACTTGAGGACCCTTCGGATCACCCTTGGAGAGTAGAGATATTTTTATATGCGCGCATTTTTTAAAAATATATTAAATTTGTCCCAACAAATATCTATAAAAGTATAAAAAAATTGTTTATAAGTCAATATCTTCCAAGTTATTGACTGGATCTAGTTAACCAATCACCCAGTACATTTTACCATTTGTCTAGCTGTTTTTATTACTATAACATAAGGAAAAACCCAGTTGAATAATGCGGTTTTTTTATTGAAGGATAGGACATTTGTTATTAAATGTGTTTTGATTTTTCATCAAGAACTCGTTTTCTTTATAATTTTTTATACGTCGTAATATCAAAAGTTGAATGTTAACTAGAAAATTCTGTATATATTAATATTTTTCTAAGAATTGGAATCTAAGTTCAAAATATAATTTTAAATAAATATTAAGAAACCTCTATGAAATTCGTGCCGCGCAGTTGAGGATTAATTATGAAAAAGAAAATCGGATGCTATACCGCAGAATCTTTTGAAAAATTATTGACATTTTTATGGGACAAATTGTTTTAACAAATAAATATATTCCTCGAAGTTTTTAATTTTATTACGTATTTTTTACATTTTTTATAAAGTTGTTCGTTATAATAATTATTAAGTTTCAACTGCATGAATAAAGCACTAATAGATTTTAATCTATTTACTTTTGGGTTGTGTATAATATGTAACGTAATATTAACCATGAACTTTGAATTTGAGATTCGATTTGTTTTTTTTTATTATTCGCCGAGAATTGATAAAACTTAAAGGTTGTCCTAAATACTTAACCTGTAACAACGCGATTATCGTTCTTTAAGAAATTTATTTTTATTACCGCTAAATGTAGTTCAGTTTGTGTAAGCGATTAAAAATATACAGTAAATTCGTCATTTTTATATTAAAGCTTCTTATAATATACTATATTGTTGTAATTTAGGAAGTGGACGGCCATCGCGGAAATTATGTGTCCTATATCATTGTAAGTTGTCATAAGAAAGAAAAAAACAAGGAATAGCGAACATTTACTATTGTGTCTGTGTTTTAAGTATATATATAAATATATATATATATTTATATTTATATATACTTATACATGTATACTTTTGTGTTGATTTATTTATACCAAACTAAGTACCTGCCGGATAATTGTAAAAACGAACCTTGAATGATCAAGGACTAGTATCATCTTGATTCGTTTTGCTTTGCGTGTATAACAGTATCGAATATTGACGAAAAAAAACGTAAATAACAATGGCTTAGATATTATTAATGCAAACACCTCGAGGTGTTTAAATACCTCTACCTACTTTGTGTACGTCAGACAGATCTTCCCCTGAAAAGATCATAATAATAACAATGCCTTTGTTTATGGATTTTTTTTTAATAATTATTAATTACTTACACAGAATGGGACGACACCTGTAGACGGTTTGTTGGAGTGTCCTTTGTGTCTAGCCAAATTCGACGAAACTGATTTTGCCAAATTATCAACATGTGCTCACCGTTCCTGTTTCGACTGTTTTCAACAATATTTGCGCATAGAAATATGCGAATCTCGCGTGAACATAACATGTCCCGAATGTTCAGAAGCAATGCATCCAAATGGTAAAATATTACACGCATAACATGTTTATATAGTTGTATTTGTTTTAATACTTTTATTTTATATTTTTAGATATTCAAAGTGTACTTAATAATCCAGTTCTTTACGATAAATATGAAGACTTTATGGTTCGGCGAGTGTTGGCCGTCGATCCCGATACTAGATACTGTCCTTCACCAGACTGCAGGTAATAAATATTTTAATGAATCCTAAAAACTGAATTTATGAGGGTTTTTTTTTTTACTAAAAAACTTGCTAATAGTTGACATTTTAATTTTAAAAAACTATTGATTTCAAAACGTATAAATATATTATACCTTTATTATATATTAAACAAATTATATGAATTTAAATATTAGTATTTAAAAATGTACTCCTCTCCGGTATCTATAATTGTTTTAAATATTTTTTTTTTCTTAGGATGTTTGTAGTTGAGTATTTAGAAAATATATTATTTAATAAACTGATATTTCTAGTTGGTTTATTTATTATTATTTCTTTTGTAGTAGAACTATTTTGCATGTTTTTAAGGGTGGTTGTTAAATACACTCGGGCGTTTGAAAATTTAATGTATTTAAATTTTAATGCAAAGCTGTAAAGGGGTTTATTATTTTTTTATTAATTTATCTCCGACTTACTTATCAGCAACGAATTTGGCCTATGTTTACAATTAGATATTTATTTTTAGGTACATAAAAAAATAGTCATGATTTAAAAGATTTAATTTTATTTCTTAATTATTTTTATAATTTTATTTAGTTATGCAGTTATAGCTGCTGGCTGTGCTAGCTGTCCAAAGATAAAATGTGAACGCCCTGGTTGTGATTCCTATTTTTGTTACCATTGTAAAGCCCCCTGGCATCCTAATCAGACTTGTGACTCAGCTAGGGCAAAACGTTCAACTAACATAAGGACAGCTTCTATATCTTACAGTTTAGATTTATCGTCAAGTAAGTATTATCAATATTGTGTATATATTTTCTAAAGAGCAGTTCAAAAATGTCATTATAGTGCAGTGAAAATGAATTTTGATTATAAATTATTTGTAAAATTTAATTTGTGTTTAAATGGACAGTTTTCAATTCTCTCACATTATCATTGGCGCAACTAGAGGGGGTGCTGAGGAAGTTCAGACTTTTTTAAAACTTTGAAAGCCCTCTCAAAATTTCAGTAAAAATTATAAACCTTACTTGGGTGATGTGTCTGTTTTGTTGCTGACATTATTTTAGAACCTGAACAAGTTAAGAAGGATTTGACCTTTCTCAGCACCCCCTCTAGTTGCGCCAATGCATATTATGTGTCTTATTTTCATAATAAAATATAATAAAAATAAAAATCTATTTAACATTTCAACTGGAAAACGTGTTTGTCAAAAAATAATTTATAATATACAAAAGTAAAAACAATTTTGTTAAAAATAAATGCATAATTTAATTTCACATTATCAGTGTATTATATTTATAAATGTTTGTTCTAAAATACAACACTTGTAAAATTCTCTCAATGGCATTTGTCAAAAGTACATGCAAAGTTTTTGTAATTTATACACAACGTTTGCATTCATTAGACAAAAAAGACTTATTAGCTGCAATACTTTGAAAGATTTTAAGTACATTATTATTTATTATTATTCTGATCAAATAACATTTTAGGAGAAGATATTAAACCATGTCCTCGTTGTCAAGTGTTAATTGTAAAAATGGATGATGGCTCATGTAATCATATGACATGTGCCGTTTGTGGAGCAGAATTCTGTTGGTTATGCATGAAAGTAGTCAGTGATTTACACTACCTAAGGTAAACAATTATTGAAAAAAAAATTTTCCTTTGGTATTTAAAGATGGTAAACTATCAATTCTTCTGTGTTTAGTCCGTCCGGTTGTACCTTTTGGGGAAAAAAGCCATGGTCTCGAAAGAAAAAACTTTTGTGGCAGTTAGGTACTTTGATCGGTGCTCCAGCTGGTATTGGTTTAATAGCTGGCATTGCAATTCCTGCAATAATTATAGGTAAGCTGTTCATAGAAACTTGTTTGCCAAAATTATAAACAAGTTTTTTTTAAAATGAATATGGGTCTAATGAATTGTTTCAGGTGTACCTGTTTGGACTGGACGTAAAATGTTTACACGTTACAGAAATTCAAGTCGATTAAAACGAAATTTTGCAATTGCTGGTGGTGTATTGTCTGCGGTAAGTGATTTTACTAACTTGTAAATAATTAGAATAATATATGACCTACAACAGTTTGTAAAAAAGTATGATATGGATACTAATCTGTATCATGTGGGACTAATTGAGTTGAATGAGGCAGTAAATATTCAGGATATAGGTGGATAGGTCCACCAGGATACTGGGCAAATCCTACTAGGCTTTTTTTATATTTATATTATAATATATATTCGTTTACTAGTCTTCACCACTCAACTTATGCAAATATATACAAGGGCTCAACCAATTTCCTAATAATAAATAATAGTTTTAAGTATTTCCCCTGACTAAAAAAAATAGAAAGATTAAGAAAAACTAAAAACAAAAATAGCTACAGTTATCTATAAATTATTATTATCTAACTTAAAATGTATTTTTTAATTTATAAGTACATGATTTACACTTTTAATATTTACTTTAATATGTTTTATTTCATTTTCCATGGTTCAAATAAGTCCTTTATAAGTAGCTTTGAGCCTTTTTTAAAATCAATTTTACTGGGAACAAAAATTTAGCCTAAATGCCTGCCTGTTAGGAGTTCATAAGTGTTTAGCCTATTTGTTTATTTTCATTCAACATGTACAATAATCTCATTTTATAGTTTGGTGGTACGGCATTAAAATGTAAAAACAATTGTTACAAATTCAAAATTTTCAACTATATTATAATTCATATAAAGTAATACATTTTCATCAAATCCTGATGAAATAAGATAGTTGTACAGTTAAGTTTCTGGGTGCGAACAATGTGTTATTTGTTATCAATAACAATTATTTATTAATATTTATTTAGTTACATAATTAAAATTGTAAGTACATAAATCACATAAAACAAGTGGATAGTGACAGCACCAATGTATCGAATTAAACAATTCAATGTGAATAATTAAGTAATGAAAGACTCAAATAATAATAATTATTATTAATAACTAGTTTAAAAAAATGTGAAGTCATAAATTTAACCCATCACTAGTTTTATATAGGTCAGCATTGTGATGTTGTATACTTGTAAACAAGTTATGCTAACCTTTGAAGGCTTCAACTACATTTGTATTTAGTTTAAAAAATGTATTTTCTTTATAATAAAAATGTATTTAAATCAAAATTTAAAAACAAAAAATTACCAGCGTCTAAAATTCGAAAGGTACTACATAACTATTGCTAACAGTAACAGTAAAATAAAATGCTTAAGATTAACAATGACATTTTACTCTTAATTGTGATAGAAAGCTCTAATCGTTCTATTTAGATAGGTGAAAGATAATATTTGAAAAATTAAAACGAAACTAGGCTGAAATTTCGGTTAAATGTCTGCTGAACACTTCTTCGTCTTGTAAGTCGGTCAGAAGGTCTAACAGTCGCTGTTCGGTCTCTTCGTTACCCAAAGCCACGTCCACCGACCCTATGCACAGCAATACGGCTAATAATTTGGATTCCTTCATGTCCTCGTTCAGGGCGTTTCGGCTGTATTCCAGTCGCCCTTCTACGTCTACTCCCAATTTACTCGTATGACCAGTAAACGCTTCCCAGTAACAGTCGACCAGTTGGTTAGAATGGTTTCGCCTGGTCTCCGTCGACAGGCTGCTGACCAGTAAAAGCGCCACATCGTTTGTCGGTCTGCTGTAGGATATCATTTGCCAGTCCAGTATGACGCACTCGTCATGTTCGCCGAACATCAAGTTGTTGCACCAAAAGTCGGTATGAGTCATTAGGCCCATTGGTTCTTTGGGTATCATTAGCGAGCCAATTATTTGTTTGGTGACGCGGCAAATGGATCTGAGCGTGTTGATCAACGCGTCGTATTGTGGACCCCTGGACCGAAGGAAGACGTTCAGTTGTGGCATGCCCCTTTCCACTAAGGCTTGATAAGATAAGGTGGCCCGAGAAGTCTGGAATAGGAACGGCCAGCGTTCAGTAAGCGATCCGCTCTGGAGTTTTAATGCCAGTGACGTGGCATGCACGCGGGCTATGGAACGTAAAGCCAGTTGGGCCTCTTTGAACGTCAGTCCTGCGGCGAAATTGGCGGCCGTAAAACTGCGTTTGCTTAGGTTCTCTAACACCAACATAGATTCATCGCGGCCGCTGGCTTTCATGCCGGCGAAGTAACATTTGGCCACCGGCATGTCGCCCATCTGCAACCGGTCGGAGGCAGCCAGTGTTGTTTCTTCGAAATTTCTTAATTCTGTTAGCACCTGGAAAATAAAGTGTTCTGTCAAGTCTAGCCAACATATTTTAGTTGTTGTGTCGCGTATTGAGCAATTGGCTCGAACAGGTTCGATATCATCATTGGTTTTGACATTTTTTGTACAGTTAGTGTTATAATAATTCATTATGTAAATTAATTTGTTGTTTGTGCAGTCGAATCTTGCATAGCTATAATTCGATTTCACTTTTTTTTCACGATACAAGACATGTTGTTTTCCTGTATATCACGATAATAAATAATATTGACGCAAACGGGTGCTTAAAAATGGCATTGAGTGTTTACCGATACTGTTTTAAATAATGTTATTTTAGTTTAATATTCTTCCTAGAGCCATCTGTAAATCGTAATTTATAAATTATTGATGTGATTGTAAATTAAACGAGATTTATATTAAAAATATATACATTTCTTATACGTTTTAATAATAAATAAAAATAATTAATAAAGAAATCGTCATAATTATTTATGAATATGAATTTATTATATTATTATTATAAACGTTTTTCTTTAGTTTTAAATACGTAACCTAACAGGATGTTTACAATAACTGTTGCTGGCAGCCGTTTTCCCCAGGCTAAAACAGATCTTGTTATTCGGATATTATTGTGTTTTGGAAGTTGTAATTAATAAAATAAAATTAGTCTATACTCAACATCGTTTAAGCTGTGCCTGCAATGGGCTGTACACAATAATTACGATGTCGATGATTGATCGTATTCTCGAAACTTCAGGGACGCGTTCACGGGTCTCGTGTCATAAAATCGAATCTATGCGATTGCTATGTTATTGTTATTTATATATTTAGGCGTACAATAAAATACGATATCGTCCGTAGTCATAGCATTGGGCTTGGCGTCAAGGTTTACTGAACACAACAGAGATGTGTATAGCTACTAGCTAGCACAGTGGCGATTAGGTCGCACCGCGGACCGAGACGCTTTTTTTCTAGTTACGGCTAAGAGGGGCGTTGGTGTATTACAAAAAAATCAAAAACCTTGTTTATTTTCTAAGGTTTTTTTTTTTAACTTTATATTTGAAGGACATATTTAATAAACTTAGGAAACACCCACCGTGTTATAGAAGTGCACTTCTCTGTAGTCGAATTGTGCCTCCAGTACAAATGCCCGAGAATAGGGCTCCTGTGGTAGGCTCTTAATGACTACATCTAGCGAGTCGGTGCCTTTAACGCCCTCGACGGAGTACACGATATGCACGGCCACTATGGAGCTGAGCACGTTGTGTGGGTCGGCCACGGCGGGTGTGGCCATAGTTTGGTCGGCGATCACGGTGACCGCGTGCTTCGGTCGGTCAATCAGCCGGCTTATGACGCCCGACAGCCAGTCCGGATCGGCGGGCAGCGGCTGTCGCTGTTCTTGGTCCGCGTTCTGCTGTTCTTGGTCAGCTGTAGACGACATGCTGGACGGTGGACGCACGGCGTCTGACTACGTGCCGCGACTCAAGTGTACTATACGTGTACGCCACAGCTCCGTGGTGGCGGCGGCGGTTTGTCGGATGCGTGAGTCGACGACCTGCATCCCCGGCCACCGCCTTTTCCTCCCTTCGACTCCCCGGCTCGCCTTGTCCCGTGGAAAACAGATCAGGACAACCCCCTCCCCGCCAACCAAAGTACGTTTTTCCTCTCCACCACCCTTTTCGTTTGTTGCCATGCGTCCTCTCGCGTTTGCCCATCCGCCGTGCCGTTGAGGCGCGTACAACGCCGTGTGCGTCATCCGTGTGACCCATCAATACCGGAGAGCCAGCCAGCGTACCGTGATGTAATTTGGGAGAAAAGAATAAGCAATTTCTTCCCAAAAAAAATATTGGTATTATATTTTATTCCCATATAAAAGTATTACTTTCACCAATCATCACGATATAGTTAGGTCCAAAAATACTATTATGTTACATAATATACACCACGGGCCACGGCTGTTGTCAAAACTCCGAACTCGAAATTTATAATACTGTAAAGTCTAATATTATTGTAACATTAATTTAAAAATGACAATTGCCGAGTTTATCAAAAATATAGAAACCCTCCCCTCCTTTCTGTTTATTTCAATAAAATATTCTTATTTTGTAATCAAATAAATTGTGATATAAATAGTTGACAGTTTGCGTATAGCTTATTAAAACCGCTCAAGTGTATAATCTCTATAGCTAGAATAGTTAAGCCTGGACAGCCAGCCGACCAGGCTTCATTACAGTTAGGTCCTAGTCATATAAAAATCGAATTTTAATTAAACGCCGTTATTATTGTTTTAATTTTTTCGTATACTTAAAAACTGCAATAATTGTCAGGAAGCAATAAACTATGATAGCAGACGGCTTGTAACTTGATACTTAGAACTAGTTTTAAAAATATTGCTACCCAATATCTTATATTAAATTGTGTCTATACAAGTAGTGTATAACATCAATGCTGACCATATTTTATTCTTTTGTAATTTTAATCAAATTCTTTGGAAAGTAAAAAATACTTTTGGTAACTGGTATCATTTTGAGTCGCGGAACTCCATGAAAACTAATGTTAATTATGTCGAAATGAAGGAATCAATAAAAGTACAATTAATTATACAACATATAAGTAACACGTGATCTGAAGAAACCTTATAAATTTTGGAGCATGTTTCGTTTATATAATAACAGTTTTTAACCTTTTTTTACATCCTATGTCAATAATCAATAGTCAATATAGAAATTGGAATATTATTTCAGCATGTTTACTAAATAAAAATCAACTTTTTTGTTGTATAATTAAATCAAATATTAGTATAAATTAGTTAATTTTTTTTTTTCTAGTTGGTAGCAGCTCCAGTTTTGGCCACCCTAGCTGTTGGTATAGGTGTGCCAATACTGTTGTTCTACGTGTACGGAGTAGTGCCAGTTTCCTTGTGCCGTTCCGGAGGCTGTGGTGTCACCACTTCTGCTAGTGGTGTACATTTTGATTTTGACGAAGAACATAGCTCTCCGAAAACGGTCAATGCCGATTATTTTACTGCCCCAGGTTAGTATTAATGATTTTGGCTAAAAAAAAAAATTTGTTTCACATTATTTTATTAAATTATAATTTTTTTTTTTGTTCTAGATGGTGATACCGTTAGTCATGGAGCTGAGATAGGTAATCCTTCAATTGGTGAACCTTCATTTTGGAATGATTGGGATGGTGAAACTGTGCTGGGAAGAGATGCTGATCGAGAGTCAGCTAGTACTGTTGCATTAGCCGGCAGTTTATTAGCCCATAAGTAAGTTTATATTACAATATTTCATATATCAGTCTTATTCTTCATGTTATTGTGAAATCGTTAAACTTATTAAAACATTTTTCTTAAGAGTGGACAACAGTGAGACAGCGTCCATGCGATCTGGTCAGAAAACCTCTGCTGAAGGAATAGAAGAAACGCAATCACAACAGCCTCACAATTTGTCACTGAGTTCACTGGAAGAATTAACTGCTGGTTTGATGCGACGAGTCCTCGGCAATGCTGAAGAAACCGATACACCCGCCACAATTGTTCGAGCACGTTCCACTGCTACTGAAGTGCGCTTTGGCAATACCGTCAGCATAATCACTCCTTCAGTAACAGATGGCCGTCAACATTTTTTGCCACTCAGGTAAATATATCTTGTTATTATATAGCAAGTAGGGACTTAGTCTCATGTAGCTAATAAATGTATTATAAGGGTATTTTATTAATTATTACATTTTTTTTTCATAGAGGTTTTGTTCGAAATTTACTGTGCAGAACTTCTACTGAAATGGCAGCAAGTTCATAATTATACAAATGTACAAAATATAATATTATATACAAATACAAACCATTATTGTTTAGGGACCATGTGCCTCACTTAAATTGGTCTTTCTATTTTGTTGTTTATTGTGTTTGATTTTTATTTTATTTTCATTTTGTGTCTATAAAATATTATTAAAATACCTCGATTTATATATATATATTATACGTATGTATATTGTATATACAAAAAAATTATAATATTCATTTATCTATAAAAACTTGAACTTAAATTTTTCCTTTAAAGCGACTGTGATCACTGGGTTTTTTTTAATTATATTATACTATGTTGTAACTATTGTCATATTACTCTCTAATGTACTACATTATAACAAATTTTAGAAATTTTATACATTTTTACTAAGTAAATGCATAAAAATCAATTTTAATAAAAACATCGGTATTGCTTTAATTTATGTATTTTCATTAACATTAAAAATACATTAAGAAACCAAAAAACTATAATAATAAAATACATGTATATTGTGTTGTTTTTCACCCCAGATTTATAATTAAGATTAAATTAGATTTTTTTTAAGCAGTAAGTCTAACTGTAAAACCATTATCCTCATTCCTAAATAGTAAATATTCTTTTGTGTATTTAGATATAAAATAAATGCTCGCAGTTAAGAAACAATAAACTGCCAAAAACTTATGCTTACATAATTTGTTTTTTATTTTTAACTTTTAATTGTTCATTCTTTTCCTATTTTACTGTGAATAGTTAAACAACTATCCAGCTATGATAAACAAAATTAGCAATTATTATTTAGTTAACTACAAATTAATCTAAATGTTAGAAAGCCATAACTTAGTTAACTTGTTATGACTACAACAAATATTGTTATAAATTATAAATAGTATCTTCTTATAGCTTAACTAAGTCTGAACTTGTAAATAAATAAAAGTCAATTAAAAACATTTTTAAGTTATGGCCTTTTGGGACAATATAAAATATTGTTCCTGGAACGAAAGGTTCACGTCGTTCCAAAAAGAATAACTTAACTTAAAAATGTTTTCAATCGACTTTCCTTTTTTTTATGAGTTTGTATTCAGTTAAGCTATTATAATATCATACTATTAATAATTTATATCAGTATTTGTTATAGTAGTATTAACGAATAATGTTAATTTTTGCTTGGTATATATCTGTGTAAGAAACTTTAAATTCCTATAAATAATAAAAATAGTAGATAGATGATTTATTTGAAATGATATAGATTACAAAATAATATGATTTTTTTACAATAAGAACTAAAATAATTTACTGCTTTTATGGGATTTTACTGATAGTTTTTTTACCTTTAGTTAGCAAAAAGTTAAAGGCATTTTTTAAAAATAAATTAATATTTGTACAATATAGTATAATTGTACCTATAAGTAATAATATAATTGTTAAATATATATAATAAGTATAAACTTCAATTAATTAAGGCAGAATTATGTAAAAACTATACTGACTACAATTACTGTGCCTTCATTTGTTTTAATAGTATGTCTGCCTTAAGTGAAAAATAGTATGTTTCGTTGTTTGCCTATCAATACTTTTTAAACCAAACTACTACTTTTCGTAATGGTCATCAATATACATTTAATAATATAAAATATAATCATAGACTATAAAAAAAAATGTTATTATCATTAAAAACGATTGATTTATTTAGATAAAAAGTGCATAAATTATAAAATAATATTGCTCTTATACTCTAATAGTTTGGTGACTGAATTTGGAATTGATGAGTGAATTTGTTAAAACCCGTTCTAAGGGCCAAAGATAAAAATTTAGTTTTATAATTTGTGTTGTATTTTATTTATTAACAGAAAGGACAAAGTAATTTAATATCAATACGATTATTTATATTCATAAATAATAGTACCTTACTTCAAAAACATACCAAATTGTCTCCAATAATGTATAAAAAAACAAATCAATTTATAGAATTTAATTTTTATACTAGAATGGTACTTAAGAACATTAGACAAGTTTATTCATCAATAATTTAAAATTTTTACATTATGATGTATACATAATGATTGATTTATATGACAGTTGACTGAAGTATAGATATAACTAAGTTAAGAATATTATGATAATGAAATCAGAAGATTTACATATTATATTTAATAATAATACAAAATTATATAAGATTATTTATTTCTAATGACTAGTTAACAAGAATAGTACAGCAGTTCCTAGTACTATTACTCTGCCATTATATTAATATACTACATATTTAATTAATCTTATGTTTTAACAAATAATAATTCATAAAAATAATATTAACAAAAATAGTTTAAAATTTTAAATGTCTATTAAGTTTAATAATAGCATGTATTATAAAGGAGTAATTTGGGAAAATAAATAAAAATATGAATGTTAGGTTTATTTATATCCCAACACCCATTTGTATATATTAATGGTTAACACTATAACTATAATAGAATCTATACCTATGTAAATATAATACATAAATCAAATAAATAATTAGGAATTTCAATTGCTACTTATCAAAGGCATAGTCTAAAGGTGTCTTAGGTGCATAACTTATAATTTAACATTTTACAATGTTAAATTGTTCCATGTATTTAATGAACTAAACATGGAAATTTGCAGCAAAATTTTGTTGCTAGACGCTTCCAATACTTGTACATCATTTGTATCTATTACTAAAATTATCTCTGTTTCACAACAGAAATGCACTAATCACACCCATTAACTATGATATTGATGTATAATAATTTAACAAAATTAACAAAAAAAATTTTTGAATATAATTTTAAACTAACAAATATTATTTAACTTGATAAATTCAAAATCAATTCTTAAATTATAAATAAACTGTAATGTGATATCCATTTAGACCATTCAAAAATAAATGATCTACACGACTATAAGATATATATATATAAAATACAAAATCACAATTTTTATAAGGATAATGAGGAAAAATAGAATTTATGTGTCTTAATGCCACTTCAGTTCGCTGGTTGAAATTCCGACTACATGATAAGAACTGTGATACGTCATACATCTTTTTTTTTTATCAATTAGTTACTGGTTTGTTCTTGACAAGTGATGTATTTAGAGATGATACCAATTCTAATGTTACTGGTTTGCGGCGAATTTTTTCCATTTCAATGATATCGCCATTGTTGGATGGTTTGGACTTAGGATTTCTACACCCTCGACATTTGCACCTATCACATGCCTTCTGTTTTATATAACATGGACATCTTTGTCCAAAACACGTAAGTTTTCCCGGTGAAGATGTTGCATTACCACAACGACAACCGCAATGACGAGCAGCTTTCTAATGAAAAACGTTTAAAATCTATAAATATTCTAATAAAAATACAATACATGAACACGTTTTTTATAAATGTTTTACCTTATAAACTTTCTTTTTAGAGATAATTTTAAGTACTGGTTTTGCTTGTTTTCTATCATTTGGCGTTTGTATATCGGATAATATGTTAAAAAATCCTTTTGAAGTTTTATTGTCAACGGATATGTTAAAATCTGATGGTAAATGTAGTTCATCATTATTTTGTCTTTCAAGTTCATCCAAGTTTGGTCTACTGATATTTAAAAAGCCATTATAACCATTAATTGGTTTTGGTACATGGATAGCTTCAGTCACTAGTTCTACTATTTTTTTATCTTCAACTCTTGTTAACATGACATTAAACAAAGGTGATTTATGTATAAAAGAACATAATTTTTTGTAATATTGTAGAATTGACCAAGTGTCTTCTTTGACATTTTTGACATTAGTGCAAGCAGAGCATAGCAATCCATTAGGATGGGAACTTGGATAATTGACTAATTGCTTACAGGTTTGACAAGATAATCCGTCATGTAGATGAGGCAGCAGAGTATGTAGTTCTTGCCAGCTTGATGGATCTGAGGAATCGGCGCGCAGCACTATTTGACTGGCTACTACGTAACTGTCAATCAATTCCATCATATTTGATAATGCACCAATGCGTTCACAAAAAAATGGTTGAAATTATGTTGTAGAACTAATCCGCGAAGTAAACTAAACGTTAACATTTATTGCAAATTCCAAGACATACTATTAAAATCTGAAAACGATTTGTGAAATAATTATTTAACCGTCGCTATAATCAAATATAAATAATTTTCTATAATCATAATCACTATTTTTTTTTTCTTTAGAAAGCTAAACCGTAAACGCTTCTAATCAGTCGGTCTTTTTATCATTTGATTGTCTACTGAATTCAAGGTAGCCAACACCACTCACCCCTCTACAAATTACTATCTGAAGTTTATATATTGGCAAAAATGTGTATATTTATAGGTTATGTTAAAAATTAAAGTTTAAACTGTTGTGAGGAAAACAACACTGTAGGCTGTAGCTCTTGCCTTTCGTAAAGTTGTTACTTTTTAGCCCGCAGTAATATGTATTATCTAATCTGATCGTTTGGGCAATCGGCATTCGGCTTTGATATTCGAATTTTGTCATAACTCATAAGGTTCGTATTAGAAACATTTCATCCGGCATTAACAATAAAACGTTCAGACTTCAGTTGCGTGGAAGCTCTTCGATTTAACAGTAAGTGTATTCAATATTGTATCTAGTATTTAAATTTCATATAAATGATTGCATATTATTTGTATTTAACCCTGATGTTTATTGCATTCCTCATAAGTATATTAATATCTACATCAATTTCTAATTACCTTAATGTTCTTTATCATATCTGTAGTTATTTTTAAATTGGAAATATATTGCAAGCAAGTATTTTTCAAATTATTTTAAAAATTATTAAATGTTACAGTTTAAATTGTATTAATAGAATATTTTCAACTATATGATTTATTCAAGTATTAATTTTTTAAAAAACTAATAATTTCTAGTGTATGTATTTTGTATTATTTTAAATAACTAGAAATACATTTATTAAGTGTTAACCTTAAACATTTTATTGATTTTTTGGTATCTTATAATGTTTTCACAATAAATACAAAACTGAAGTCTGAAATTCACAGACTCCTTAAGTTCATAAGTTATAGCTAGGTACTTAAACTAAAGTATAGCTTTTTAAACATAATAATCTCTGGCCAATCATATTGGGCTGCAATCGGCAACACAATAAGGGCATGTGTACGCCACTATAACAATATGATCATTATTTAAAATAAATATTTTAATTAAGTGATTATTTCAAGGCTCAATTAATATTTTTTATGACATCGTTCTATTATATTAATAAATAATTCAAAACTTCTAGTATATAGCACCAACCCACCAAATAAATCTATGAGATATGCATATAGTTATACATATTTGTATCTATTATTAGTATTATTTATATACTATATTTAATATTGTTAATTTGAATAATAAAATAATGAGAAAAAATAATTTAAATTTATATAGCATAACAACAACAAAAAAAGTAGGAAATATCGTTAAGAACTTTTGAAATTGTAAGCCAAAAAAATATACCTTAAAATTGGGAAAAGAGTTGAACCATTTGGTTGGAAGATCGTTAACAGTATGTTACTGTCAAAAGTATCGATTATATTATTATATAATAATATATACCAAAATGATCATAAAGATGTATACAAATTAAGTACTAATCACTGTCAATTAAATGTTATTATTTTATTAAAATAAAACTGTAGTATGTGGCCACCTTAAGTATAATATGAAGTATACAATTAGTCAAATACGGATTATCTTAACCAAACTATCTGAGTTTATGAAATATTCATAATTTTTTAATTTTTTTATAGACTATTAGGCCTTAATTATATTATTAGGAGATATATAAAATTAAAAGGTAATTAAAATGTGTTCAGTACTAACAATTTTGGAGAAAACTATGGGTATCAACATTATTTTAAAAGTATTTAACTATAAATAATTTTTATAATTTTATTTCACAATAACCATTAATCATTGTCATTTATCCGTGATAAATTTTGTTGGTTTTAAGTACTTCTAAGTTATCAAATAAAATTACTAGAATTTGAAAGTAATTATAAAATAATTGATTTTTGTAAGTAGAAATTTGTAACTTTAGTATACATTTTAAGTTGTTGCTAATGCCATTTAACTATGGGTTTTAAAAACCTTATCATGTATACAATTACATAATAGGTTATAATTGCTTAATTTGTATAAATGATGTTATGTTTAACATTCAACTTGGTGTGTAGTCTAAAAAATAAATCACTCTGTCTCTTTTATTTTTAAGGTTTTACGGTTGTTTTTTAAGTAACATAAATAAAATTAGTCATACCTAAATTTGGTTTTTTTTTTTGTTTTTCCATAAATAGTGTAGTTAATTCCAGTGATATTTTAAAAAATCATTACTTATTATCTTTTTTCTGTGTTTTTTTAATTTTATAGATTGTTATTGTGATACTGTACTTAAACTGCAACTGACGTGCTTCAAAACTAAAAACCATGTCTATGTCAAAGTGTCAGCAGTTATCATCTGCTTTGTTTAAGCAGCAAAAAAATGTACGATTGATGTCTTTGTGGTGGTCTAATGTGGAACAAGGACCTCCAGATGCCATTTTAGGTGTGACTGAAGCATTTAAACGTGATAAAAATCCCCAAAAAATTAATTTGGGTGTAGGTGCCTACAGAGATGATAATGGAAGCCCTTATGTTTTGCCTAGTGTTATCCAAGCTGAAAATCGTTTATTAAAAAAAAACTTGAATAAGGAATATGCCCCGATTAGTGGTATTCTCGAGTTCTGCAATGAATCTATAAAATTGGCATTATCTGCTGAGTCGCCTATTATTAAGAATGGATGTTTTGCCTCCATTCAGTCAATATCAGGAACTGGAGCTTTAAGAGTTGGAGCCGAATTTTTAAAAAGGTATGCTCCTCTTAAAACAATTTGGGTTCCTGTACCAACATGGGGAAATCATGGGCAAATATTTAAATTTTCTGGTTTAGAAGTTAAAACATACAGGTATTATGATCCGAAGACCTGTGGTCTCGATTTTTCTGGAATGATCGATGACTTGTCATCTGCTCCTACTGGATCTGTTATTTTATTACATGCATGTGCTCACAATCCTACAGGAGTTGATCCTAAGCCTGAACAATGGAAAGAGTTGTCTGATTTATTAAAAAAGAAAAAATTGTTTCCATTTTTTGATATGGCTTACCAAGGATTTGCTTCCGGTAATGTTGACCGTGATGCAGTGGCTGTACGAACATTTTTGTCAGATGGTCATCAAATTGCCCTAGCTCAATCTTTTGCTAAGAACATGGGATTGTACGGTGAGCGAGCCGGCTTATTTTCCTTGACATCACTAGACACCGACGAAGCAAATCGAATTATGTCTCAACTTAAGATTATTATACGTGGAATGTACTCAAACCCACCAATTCATGGAGCCAGGTTAGTGTCAGAGATACTAACTGATCCTCAACTCAAAAGTCATTGGATGGTTGAAGTCAAAGGTATGGCGGATAGAATTATATCGGTCAGAGATAAATTGAAAGAGTTATTGGCTAATGAAGGTTCGACGAGAAACTGGCAACACATAACTGATCAAATTGGCATGTTTTGTTATACTGGATTAGAAAAAGAACATGTTAAGAAATTAATAGAGGATCATAGTGTTTACTTAACAAATGATGGACGTATTTCAATGGCAGGTGTTACTAGTAAGAATGTTGGTTATCTTGCCAATGCAATTCACAAAGTTACTAGTCAGTGAGAATCAGTAATCGAACTTGGTCTTAAAGAGTATATTATTATACATATATATTTAAATTATTTAATTCTTTTCTTGTTAGTTAAAAACCAAAAGTACACAAAACTTAATTATATAAGTGTTTATTTTGTTATCCTATCATTTTAAAATCATGTTTTTATATTTTTAAATACAATTATCATAATTTAGTTATCAAAATGCTCTCGTTTTACGTATTATTATGTAATGACATCTTTGTAATAATTTATATAATTAAGTTTGTCACAAATAATGTATACCTATTAGAAAATAAAAAAAAATGTTTAAATTTGTTGGAAAAATATTTTTATTTAGAATACAACTGTTTTTGATCCTTTAAAAAATATGTCCCAAGAAATGTATGAATCTAAAATGTCTGTTTTAAATCACACCATTTGAGACTAACATAATATTATTTATATGTATGTATAATAGTAAATATTTTAAAACAGACTTTGTATAATCTATAAACTTCTACACATTTGTATTTGCTGTACTACTGAGTACTAACATAATTTTCAAAGATAAATTGTGTTGTCAAACTATAATTCATTGTATTTAAATTTCATATTTTAATAAAATTAAGTTGTTGATACAGCACAATGAAAGCTAATAGTAATAATAAAAAATTGTAGGTATATAATACATAAATTGGTTATTAACCAGATAAGTATTCAACCTTATAATTTTTTGAATAATAGTACTGAATGTGTTAAAACTTTCATGGATTGAAATGTTATGTAGATAACTTTTTAGATGTATCAGTATTCTGCTAACGTTTCGGACTCGTTGCAGAGTCCATCTTCAAAGCGATAGTCACTGTTTCGCCGTCGTGACTACCGAATATCTGTCAGCCGTTGCTCTGAAGTTGAATTCTGCAATGAGTCCGAAACATCAGTGAAAAACTGAAAACATGAATGTATCTGAAAATTATCTTTTTAATTAACTAATTAGAAGGTGCCATAGAGGAAAATAATAGCTATGGGCGATCGCCACTGGACTACATTAGTCAAATATTACTTGCTCACTACCTAAATTAATACGACGAAGATTATTCATAAGAAAATAAATTAGAAGAGTACCTATGTAGGCAGTAGTTAGGTCGTTTTTTAGGAATGATAAAGGGATGCTATTAAATAAACTCTCCAGACATCAAACAGGTAACGAGTATTATCTTTCACAAACCATCGTTCTCGTTTTATCAAGCGCTCGAGCAATTCAGTTAAGTGTAAATATGACGCACTGGGCACACTAAGAATTAATGTGAAGAAACTTAACCTAACCTAACTTAACCGTCACTTATGTAATTGAATACCTGCTTACATAATTGTAATTTGTAATTATATGGGAATTTCCTACTACTGTTCTAATCGTAGTTTACGGTTTCTACCCTCCAATACGCAAAGTCCTAATTAACATGTAGGTAACAAGAAAAACCAATTTTTAGGATAAATAACTACTATAATTAATGAAAGTAATTAAACCAAATAAACACTCAAACTATAACTTTCAAATAAACGCATGGTCTTAGGTGGATCCAGGGGTTAAAGAAAGGGGGGGACGCAGGGGGACTTAGTCCCTCTACCTCTAATGGTAGTTAAAAAGCGTTCCCTTAAACAAATCATTCGTAAGGTACACCGTACCACTCCAATTATAACCAAACATTAGTCAATTCAGAATTCCGTTGAGATTAAATCTTGGTTTTTATTTTTTTATCAATTGTTACTTTACTTTTATCAAATGTATTTAATACAAATTATGGACTATCTAATATACGTGTAAAAATAATTGATTTTATTAGTTATTGTAAATGGCTATACTGTGATAAATAGGTATTCGATTAGCCCATAAGTGATAACATATATATGTAGGTGAAGTGTGAATGTGTGATTTTTTTATTCATACTCACCCCACCATGCGTAGAATTTAAATTTTTTCTTGTACAATTGAAAGCACTAAAAACATTACATTTTTATGATGTATTTATATTTTTTGTCTGGCTGGTTTTTTGTAGTTTTAAAGACAACCACTACTTACAACTTAATATTATAAGAAAAAATATTCTCTTTCAAAATGTTAAATTTGTATAAAACACGAGTTATTCTTAAAAAATGTTGTATTATTTGTGGTTTACATTTTTTATGAAATAAATTACAAATTTGAACATTATTCAGGGATAAAAGTGGGATGAGTATGTTATACAATCACTGTTTCTATATTACATATACTATATGCATTAGACATTATACATAAAATTATATATGGAACGCTTAAAACTATATGGAGACATTAGTCCCCCCTGTAATTTTTTCCCACTTTAAGCCCTGGGTGGATCCAATCTATAAAAAGGGGGGGGGAGTGATAGCTCTCCCTGGATTCGTCTCTGATTTCGATGCGAAACTGTAAATAGAAAATATACATTGTTTTTTATTACTTTATAGTCTTAGCACTAAAATTTACCGTAGTCTAATTTTAAAGTCCAAAATCTTCCCCAAAATTTCAAATTTAAGTTTTAACCTTTGCCTTTTCTTCAAATTATGTATGTATAAATATTTATTTCTTTTGACTGTAGGTATATTTGTAAACATCTTTGCATTGTATGGTTTATGTTATTATTTTTTATATTATTCAATAGTAAAAATGTATTATACTTTATAGTATAGTACCTAGTTAGTACTAATAAATTATGTTAACAAAATTGTATTTCTTTCCTGTTTCTTTTTTTATGGTGTTTTAGCTAATAAATAATAATTCAATATTGAGGGATCAGTTTCACTATAATGTACATTGGGTATCTTACGATTATAAGGTAAAACATTTAACAACCATTTTTTTCATTTGTTTTGCCCCAAGTGTGCCCTACAAAAGGCACAAAATGAGTTTTTTGACAAAATTAAGTAGCTACCACAAGATTTGCCCTTTCAAGGATAACTTGGGACAGCTACAAAAAACAAATATAAAATCAGGAATTTAGTATACAAGTTTAAATTGAAGTACATATTAAAGTTTAGATCAAGAGAAAACTTTTTATATGAATATTGTCTCCATACAATGATTATTTACTGAGATATATAATGTCAAAGTTTAAAACTGCCCCAAGTTACCCACTTTTACGGTACCTATTCGACATATTTTATTTGAGATTTATAAATTAATTTGACAAAAAGATAACGGAAAAAGTGTTAACACAATAATATAATTAGATTGTTAAAATTGTTGTTTTGAATTGAACGTTGGTAATTATTTTACAGATAGCGTATTGAAATACCGCAATCAAAAGAGGCCAGTAAATTGATTGCTGTTTAAGATAAAGAGCAGGTCAAACTGGCACGACCCTAATTATTTTAACAACTAAAATTAGCCACGCAATAATACTGTCTATATTGTTATTATTCTGATGTATTCCATTGTTTATCGCTAAATAGATATTTAAATACAAAGTAGTAGTTCAGAGGTAATTTGTTTCTAATACTTCTTTTAATCTTAAAATAGTCGAGTTTTTAAATATATGTAACTATATTTAATTCCTAATTCCTATTTACCTACATTTTTAGGTTGATTATTTATGGTGTCTTGTAATTTTCTTAGCTACTTTTAATATTTAAACGTAATGTGCTCGTATACTTCTAACGTAAAGTTTTGTAATTGTCGTTGGTTTTCAGAGCAATTCTCAGAAATTACCAAAGTTTCTGGCATGGGCCTTTCTAACATGTTTAGCAGCTGTGAGATCGTTAATGTTGAACACGGCGAATTGTTATTATATTATAATATAGAAGTTTCTAATCTGTTTTAATGTACTTCGGTAGATTTTCAAAAACTATTGTTTTTTATTACTAACCTGTGCCTGAGTGACACTTGGTGAGTGTTTTAATGTTTGGTATTTATATGCCAGTCAATGTATTGTTTTTCGGACTGTAATGATTTAAAAAAAACACTTAAAACTATCGTCAAGTCGTGAAGTTGTGTACCTACTAAATCACAAGGACATTTAGGAGCTCTCAAATTAAGAATCATAATTAAAAACAGCTACTGTGACAAATAATGTAAATTTGACGCGTTTAAAAACCATGAATTTAGGTACAAACTATGAATATTATACTCTTATTTTTTAATCTGAAATATTGGTGTTGTTTTATTAGCAAGCAAAACACTTTATTATAATAGAAGTATTATGTAATTATTATAGGAATATATTTTATTTAATAATATTATATAGCTAAATAGTTATAAATATTTATTGTAAAAATAATTGATTTTGTTGAAACTATCATTTGAACGGAATTAAGTAATTATTAACAATTTTGACAAGTTGTATATATTTTTTTCCTGAACTCCATTCGTAATTTATTGTGTTTTTCCTCAAATTAGTCTCCAGTTAACTTATCATATTTTCGTTCTAAAATAATTCAATACTCATTTAAAATTATTTTACTTAAAAGTCTAAGATAAAACCCTTAGTTGATTCCACTAATGTATCAGTATTATTTAAATAAATACAATATCAGCTATAATATAAAACTTAACCAGAAAACTGACACATTAATAATGATAACAATTAACATTGTATTTTCAATTTTGTATCTTAAAATCTAAGTACAAAATTCAAAATAAAAGTATTTTGAGGCACCAAAATATCCCTAATAGTTTAAAAATTATTTCAATTATGTTTTTTTAAATACTTGTACTTCAATTACTTCCCATCCTTGTTTGACAGCCACTCTAGTGTTGTCAATAATAAATTCAATATAGTACCTTAATTAATAGTACAGATTTGGTAATATTTTTTATCTATGATATGATGACATCTAATTCTTAAAACTTTTTAATTGTTTATATCTAATTAAAAAAATTGGAAGGGGTTTTGAGACAGACTGAATTTATTTACTTACCGCTTACGCATATATAAATATATTTATTACATTTCATTGTTATAATACTTATAAATTAATATAACGTAATAAGACTGTTGTTTTTATTTCTAAACGTTGCAATACAAATACTTTATTGTTGTTATTAATTATTGATAAACTTTAAACGCGTCAAAAACTAAAAAGACAATTTTGTTTATAATTTACAATAATATTTATTCAACTTTTGTTGGGACGGAGCTCGGCATGAATTTCAATAGACTTCTAAACGTGCTCGGACGAAGTGGTCAACCGAAAGTAGTGAAATATGACGTACTACGGATGCAACGCGTAAAAAATGTTTTCCAAAAAGTTTGGTATGCCGTTTAAAGTTTCCCGGTCGCGTAAGCCGATAATTATAAAATATTGACTGTGTGCTGTAATGTACCGTGTACTCGTGCAAATCATTACCTTTTTATGACCGCAATGTGTTATATGTGTACATTGGTGTATTTACAATTTTCTTTTGCGATATGCAACAAAAAATAAAATATCATCTGGCTCCCTATGTAAATCTTGACCTTATGACTGGACCAAAAAAGGTCAACTTTTTTCCTTTGAGCTTAACAGTAAGTTATAAGGAACAGCTTGTTTATCTACATGGTTTGTTGTTTTCGAGTTTCAATCGGACATGTATTTTGTGTCTAATTAATTATCAAGAAAAAGTAAGTTTTTAAAAAACGGGTTTGTTAGGTAAAAAAAAAATTAACAAAATTTAAGTAGATATTTTTTATTATAAAAATATAATACTTAACTTAATATTATAATGGAATGTTCTTGTGATATTACGTCTACTTCTACGTTTACAAGAAGAGTTATTAATAATATATTTATACAAATTAAGGCGCTAGGGGATGATATATCACCCTGGTCCCTGATAAGCCCTGTACATACGCCACTGTATGTGAGTACTATTGCCAATACTAATATTGAATTTTACATTACTGACGATTACAATAATAAAATGTACGCGTTACAGCCGGTGTCGCGTCGTTAGTATTCCTCGCGTTCAAACGCGCCGTTTCTATTTTGGTGCGGCTCTTATTGGCACCGGCTATATTATGTCGTGGCGGCCACTGCCGTCGCTTGAGTGGGCCCTGACGGCGGCGGTGTCAGTCAGTGGCGTGCAATGGTGCCGGTGGGCGACAAGAGTAGTACCGGGTCGTCGTCTGCGCCGTACGCGTCGGGCGTCGACAACCCCAAAGAGCGACTAAAGGAGTGTTGTCGCAAGCTAGTGGCGTTCATGTGCACGCAAGTAGGCGTTGGGGGCCTGGTGGTCGGTTACGCAGTGGTGGGCGCGTTTTGCTTCATCCAAATCGAGGGTCAAGCGGGCGACGCACAGAAGCAATCGGTCGAGCAACTTCGGCACAACTGTTCGGCGAACGTGTGGAATGCCACTAGCACGTTCAACGTGTTGCACAAAGCCAACTGGACGCGGCAGGTGACGGGAGCGCTCAAGCACTTTGAAGAGAAATTGGCGTTGATCGTCAAGAAGGGCTATGATGGCAAGACGGCCGAAGAGACGTGGTCCTTCTCGGCCGCCCTGATGTTTTCGTTGTCCATATTTACCATGAACGGGTACGGAAACGTAGTGCCCAAGACGACGCTCGGCAAAGCCGCCACCGTTGTGTACGCTGTGTTCGGCATACCGTTGTACGTGCTCTACTTCCGAAACATGGGAAAGGTGAGTCGATAACAATATACCTACCTAACCTACCAGTATTATATTAAATATTCAATAATATTTTTTTCTCTTGCTCATCTTAATTCAATAAACGTACACACTTTTGTTACCCATTTTAAATCGCTAACAATGGCAGATTATTTGGTGAAATCATTACACTCATTTTATTTTAGGTTATTACTGTTTTTTTTAATTGAAACGTCTCTATTATACATTAATTTTATTACAGATAAAATTAATAACTAATAGTGTACCTACTAGATGTCGTGTTGTTTTTAGTGATAACAGTGATAATTTAAATAATCAGTTTAAGACTTAATTTATACGTTTAAACAAAAATATTGGAACAATTACAATAAAAAATGTATATCCTTTAGGGAAACCGAACTGATGAGACCAAATTTTAATAGAATATTACTGTCAGTTCGTGAATTGAGTGTCAGAACATAATATTTTTGTTACTTTTAACCCTGTCCTTTATAGCATTTTTTATTTTTTGGACAATTTTCATCTATTTAAAGTATGTGCTAGAATAAAATTCCAAAATTGAAGTTGGATTCACTTTTTTTACTTAATTGCGCTTCCGAAGTATTCATAATCAACTATAAATTAAGAACTAACCAGAGAATAAATAGAAACTGAGTGTCAGTTTTTATATTCTTGGGGCTTCGATAAAGATCAACTACATTACAACCAAGTCCTAAAAGTAGCTGAATTCGCTAGTTAAGTTAATATTTTGCTAGTTTTTAAATACTGTTAACAAATCCAGTGAATGAAGCTGGAATAAAACGACTAATCCTATCGAGACACTTATTGTGTCAGGTTAACAGAAACGTTTTGGCCCGTCTAAAAGTAAAGCTGACATTTGACGTTTATGGTTACAATGATCACATAGAGAACGATTTTTTTTTTTAGTATTTAGTATATTTTTGTATTTTTTATGAGCTGAGCCGTATATTTAGCGAGACCGCGTTCATAAAGACTTGTGGGTATATGTAAAAACCTCCCAACGCAGCTATATTTATTACCGCTTTCACACGCGGCCGGATTTTGGCTTGTTTCCCGGCTTTCGTCTTTTTGGCTTTTGGAAGAAATTCGATTTAAAATCAAGTACTCCCTCCCTGGTTTTCGGTCACTTCTGTTTTTTGTGTGATACCAGACTCTATAAATATAGCTCGATGCCTGTAATATAATAATAATAATTATATATATCTGGCCGACACTGTCAGACAGTCCAGAATCATTCAGTGGACCGAAAAATAGCAATTAATCGTTTGGCAACGTTGTCGAATATAACGTGTATATAAAGTATAAACATCATGCAGTATCAGTATTATTATGTTTATCTGTAAGCTACTAGACATTATAAATTGTCGTTGACTCTTTGGTCATATCGTCGAACCTCTCAGTTTGTCTTCGCTCAGTAGCGTTTTCAAAGGGAGTATCGGGTTAAGGAGTTATTTTCCTCCAGAAATTAAGTGATCATTGAAATAACCGTTATTTTTACATATTTAAAATAAACTTTGTTAACGTATTTATTTTCTTATGCTGGGGAGGGGGAAATTTTATCTGGAAATATACATGGATAGGATAAAATATAACTTAGACCTTTGGTAAAATACTCCCATTAATAATTATGTATTTTAAACGATAAAGGTTATAAGGTATTTCTTTTACTATAAAGATATATTAATAATATTTAAAAACTAAAATTACAACTGTGTAATTTAGTTGATGCTCGTTATTTTTCATTTATAATAAAATAGCTTTATCATTTTGCACTTTTCGAAAGTTAAAAATAGGATTTCTTTCTATTTATAAAAATGTAATGGTCTGTTACTATTTGGAAAGTATCACGAATCACTATTTGATATTTAGTGACTACTACATTTTTAACGATTTTTTAAATTCTTAGTACACATTCTAACAAAATTGGCATAAGTTTATAATGGTTATTTATCAAGTGGTACATTACAGCCGAACCCTTTTATCACGTTTGCAGGTGCTTGCACAGACCTTCCGGTGGCTATACACGTCGTTATACCGGTGCAGCATGGAAGACAAGGTCGGAGTGGACGGTTATAACTCACAGCTGCCGCAGAAGTCCAGGGTGATCGTACCGTCCACGGCGTGCCTGTGGGTACTGGTGGCGTACGTGGCGACGGGGACGGTGACGTTTGTTACGCTGGAGGACTGGACGTACCTGGACAGCACGTTCTTCTGCGTGACCAGCTTGTGCAAGATCGGCATCGAGAACTTCGTGCCGGTGGGCAGCGTACAGGACTTTGGGGCTGACCATCCCATGAAACTTGTCATCAAATTCGTTTATCTGTTGCTGGGCATGGGCATCATCGCCATGTGTTTTGATCTGATGCGCGAGGACGTTCAGGTGCGAGTCCGTAACCTCAAAATGGACATAGGACTGTGCTTTGAAGACATACGGCTCAGGGCCGTGGCCGTATACAGGCGGAGGAACTCGTTCGACTGACTTGAAACACGGAAATTTACTACACATATATATATATATATATAAATATTTTTTTTTACCTATTTTTTATTATATATTATAATAATAATAATGTTATAATTGTTATTTACTACTATTAAGATACATTTGTTTTGAATTTGTATAAATATAATATTGTTTGTTTTGTAATACAAGATTCGGTGATCAATCTCCATCTATTCCTTGGGTGTTTTTAAAAGTTTTTATTCTGTTTAGTATACGTATGATATATCTTAGGCACAATGATATTCACAGTCATTCAGTAAAAACTGATAACACACCACCCGCAGTTAATTCTGTCTTGCTGTAGACGCTGAACCGAGTGTTTGATTCACCAATTAATGTAACGTTTATTATAAACCTGTTCGATTTTTTTCAGCAAGCACAATGACGTCTCTCGTACAATACGTTCTGGTGCGAGGCGATTTGACCCGATCGTTGAAGTGGCCGTCCGGAGCTGTGATAGCCCAAGCTTGTCACGCTTGTGTGGCCGTCACGCATACCTACTACTCAGATCTGGATACACAAGAGTATTTGCGTGCCCTGAACAACATGCACAAAGTCGTTTTAGAAGTGAGTGTAAAAACTTAAACGACAGACTTTAAAAGGCCTCGGAGTTGGCTCTAAAAAATTAACTCTTAAACTAAAACAAGTCAGAAAACAGAACAGTTACGATGAAATTATTAATGATTTGGAGGTAATAATCAAGACTAAAGTGATAAAAATCATTGTCAGACTATGCTCATTTTGGGATTGTAATATAAGCCCTATAGTTGGGTATAGACGGCCAATAATTTAAACTAAGGAATTAGTGATAAATGTTAAAAAAAAAAAAAAAGGTAATTTGCGGCTAGTTAGTTGGTGATTAGTTTTAGGCTCAACAAACTAGAAAGAGGCGAATTTCGAACTAAAAGCATTAAAAATTTTACGGGCACTAAGAAAATAATGTCTATCAGGAAAAGATGCCTAAAAATTGTTTGAACACTTTTTATTGAACATTCAATAGGAAACTCTTATTAAAATGATAATATTTCAATGTTTAAATTTTAATACGAAAAACCAAATAAATTGTTTAGTAATATGAGTTTAGTAATATGGTTATGCATTCAATTTAGCTTTACTGCTAGTTTCTCCAATATTAACATGGGTGTACAGAATAGTAAAAATAATCAGGCAATAAGTTAGCATGTTTTTTTCGCAAACACGTTTTGCAATTAAAACACCCAACATCACATTTTGTAAAATTTTTTACTACCTATTAATTTTATACACATCGTTTGTTCATTGTCTGCATTAGAAAAATAATTAATATGACATTATTGATCCTGAAGTTCTCCGTAGTCGTACTTAGATAATTAAAATAAACAATTATTAGATTATCAAGTTAATTTTTGCTGATGTGTACAGCTAGTAGGCTAGGATAGGTTATTGATCTCAATGACATCAATGATACAAGTTTAAATTTAATCAATTTACGTAATTAAAATATTATTACCTTTTAATTATGTTTTAAGGTAATATTTATACTATTGTTAAAATAAATATATTAACTCGCACAAGAATGGTTCCTTAAATTAATTTTCTTCTAATGAATTTTATTTGAATGAATTTTATTCTAAGCCGAATTTTATTCTTCGTATAATAAAGTCGAGATATTCAGATATTATATGCGTAAGTTTCGTTGAACCGTTTATTTGGTGTCCGCAACGATAACATAAGAATTAAAAAAGCTAACAATCTTGTGTTCTTCGAATTCGGAAAGAACAGTACACAGTTCAACGTTTATCCTTGATATTATCGCACTAATAATTTGATTTCCGCCATTACGTCATTAGTTTATTTAATCAGTTTATTGTTTTTCATAAGTTTTATTAAAACAAAGTCAATAAAAAGATCCTCGATAATATAATTAACCAATTAATACATTAACTATTGCTAACAATGGCAAAGTATTATTAAGGAAGATAGACGATCAATGCTAACTCCCTATTCAGTTAGTAACTCCCTAAGACCTCTGACTTGTGACCTTCCCATCCCCAATTAAATGTGCTGCGTCTTCACTATGCCCCGACCCCACTTTGATGGCTGTTTTTATTTGTAGTTTTTGTTATTAATTAATACATTTTTGTTTTATTGATAAAAGCTATATAAATTTCAAAATGTTAACATGTTAATCCCACTAAGTTAAGTTCTATGTCGTATTTTTTGCAACATAACTTGGTGAGCTAAGATAATATAAAATATTTATAATTTAAATTTATATCTTCAACATTTAAACCCTTATACCTTAATTTTCAATACCTATTAATATTTGTACTGTTTAACATTAATGTATATGTAACATTGATGTACCAATGCTTATCATTCAGTCCAGAAGTAGAAATAAATGTTTTTCAGCGACCTTTTCGTTAGGTTTAGTTGCAATAATAAAATAATTGTCTAATGTAAAAACCATACTAAGCAGAATTCGTTTTTTTAAAAGTTCACTGTTTTAAAAAAGAAAAAAAAATCTCTTTTTTAAATCTAGTATCAAACTAAATAATAGCCATATTAAAAATGGATAAGTAATTTTCTTTAAAATGCTATCATGTTTTGATTTTTGCAATTTGTTTTTACTCTAAGACCACCGTAAACCAAATAAACAATGTTTTAGATGTAAAAATATATTAATAATCGTTGTAAAGGATTTTGTGATTGTCCGAAAAATAAATCAACTTCCAAAAACTGCCTTAATTCCGAACTATAATAGAAATAATAAGCAGTATAACGTCCGCCTAACCATAAGTATTATTGTTGTCGCAGGTACCTGATGAACCGGCACTGCTGAGCGTGGCCGAGGCGTTGAGAAAAGACGGCGTGCATCACGTGGTGTGGAAGGAACAGCCCGAAGACGTGGCCACGTGCGTGGCTATCAAACCCAGTGCCAAGGCTGCAGTGAGCAAGTACGTGAGGAAGTTCAAGCTGTACGGAGCTTGACGGCGACCTGAGGCGGCAATGAGCAGTGAGGGAGGGTGACGTGGGCGCGGGTATAGTGACCGTTCCCGGAACTATCAACGCCCCCGACGGGGATCAACGGCCACCGTCAATTGACATCAATCACTTAATTGGCCGTCGCCGCGCGGAATTCAATAATAAACTTGAACATATCTTGTACAATAGTTTTGATTGTGTTCATTTAAACCGTATGGGTGTACTATTTTTATTTCCCAATCTAAACGACTGAGGTCCGACCAAAAAAGCAGCAGGTCTCGATCGGAAGCGAGACAAAAAAAAACGCGTGAGACCGCTTGCAGTACAATAATATTGTACATAAGTGTAATTTACGGGCTTATCCGATAATTTAGTCGTTGTGGGGTGTTTACCGTACGAGCTGCTGGGATCTGGATGTCGATGATGAGAGCGTCCGGAACGCGTTAAATTGTATTTTTTAATGGGCTCGTTGTAAAGAAGAAGTGAAAAAAATATCTAAGAAAATGCTTCTGTTATAATATTTGGGTGTGCGCGGGGTGGACGTTTAATTGAATACCGGTCGTACGAAATGGTTGAACAATGCGTGTTTGAGATATTATATAAATTAAACTTGGAGAGAGAACCGTGTCAAATTACCAGCTGCATCGGCGCTCATGGGAAATATGGTTTATGTTTACAAGTTTATAGCTGGTCCCACTCCGGTAGCAGTTGGCCGACAATTCACTGTTCCGACAGTATATTACACGAGAAACGCGTTCGCTTACTACCAGAAAAACCTTAGACTTTCCAAACTTTTGGCAATTTGTCAACGGCTATTACTTTTAAAACCGTTAGTCCCGCGACCACACTTAAACTTTCACCGGCCATCTAATATATGCGGTTGTTCTTTCACATTTCGTAAACTTTATTTTATTTTATTATACTAGTCGTTTGCCTTTAATGTGTAAACATTTTGACTATACTACTCGAATAAACGACAAATAGGTAGATAATATTAGTGCCGATGTTGTACAAACACACGGCTTACCGGCCGGTGCAGGTAAACTGATTCCACTCAACTTCTTTTTATTAAACAACGTGGCCCCGTAATAAGTAATTTTGTTGTACCTACACTTAAAAGTTAATTTTGATAAAAATGCCAATATAGTGGCAAAGTTTAATAACGTTTTTTTAGTAGAAAATAAACAAATTGGACATAAATATTATTAATTGTGTGTTATTTTGTACTATTCGGTGAGGTTACATTGAAGTTTTAAAAGCTGTATAGTCCGCGATTCGACAAACCAAAGTCTCAAACAAAATAATTACTGATTTATAGTTATTTAATATAAAAATAGAATAATAAAACAATAAATACAAATTATTAATGAATAATAATAATAAAAGTATACTTTGTATGTAGGTGAACATAATTTTACATTTATCGTTATTCTACGATAAAAAATTCAGTTATTAATCCGGTCATTGGTTCAAACGGTCTCGGTTCAGGCGTAATCTAAATTATGTTTATTAGCATATTATTAATCATACATGGTATGCAGTACAAACACAATAAATTGATGTTGTGTACAACAGTTTGGGAATTATTATTATTATTGTTATTGTTATTTGTATTATGTAGTATAAAGCATTTGCGTTTGATTTCCGTCAACAATTAATAATATATTTATTAACGATAATTAAAAATGGCTTAAACATTATGTACTATAAGAATACTATATTATTACTAATTTTTTCAATTTAAATAGTGGACCTATTAATATCGGTTGAACACGCAGCGTAGGAATAACTGAATAAGGATTTTATAGTTTTTTAGTTAGACATTTCTTCAAAAATGTATTTATTGTGATTAGAGTTGTACCGTTGTAGGAGTTGGGTTTTTTTTTCAGGTATTACGTTCTTAACAATAAATTACAATGCGACTTCAACGTAAACTATGACAATGAAAAATTAAAGAAAAAACGCGTCCGGTGTTCTTATGAGTTATAAATGCATGTTAATTTTCACCAACTCGCAATTTTAAGTCTTTTAGAATTGTTTACTAATTCTAAAGTATCTCAGCGCAGCCGACCCGTTGTTAACAGCTATCAACAAATCATTTTAATGTTTAAGTAAACGAATGCTGAACGAATAAAAAATACGATTACGTGTTGTATTTGCATTTATGCACATCGTGTTGCATACCATTAAACAAAACAAGGCGAAAATAATTTTTTTATACCGTCGAATTTTGTGGCCAATTTTCTTAAACTGTAAAAAGTGATGTGTTAGATAATACATAGTTTTTCTAATTGTAAAAAAAAAATAAGTAATTTAAATGTATGTTTAGATTTAATTTTTGTATAGGAACAATCGACAATTTTAAATTGCAACTTAAAAATTATACCATTGATTATAAATACTTATAACTCATACTCATTTATAGGTTTTGGTGATTATAAAAATGACATGATCATTTGTTTACGGTTTACCAATACATCTTAGTAATCAATTCATTCATTCATCAGCATGTTTCTACAGCACCCTTTTGTAAAAATACAATTTGCTTCAAAGGTTTAGAAAAAACTAATTATTCATTAGAGACGACAAATTGTATAAAGAATTATATTACCTACTAATAAACTAGGATTATATAAATCTACTTGAATCTTTTTAACTATTCTGTAATATTCTTGTAATTCAATTTTCATTTTTATTATTTACCGCGAACACCAACAATACCAACACCAGCCATCAAACTTTTTTTATGTAAGGTATAAATTCTGAAATTTTTTATTTTTTTTTAATAAAGTAAGATTGAGTTAATAACTAACCATACAACTTGCTAAAAATTATTAAATACTGTTACAGGTATTACAGATTTTTTAGTGTAACTCAATTGAGGCAAATATGTACGCTAATCTACTATGTTTGGAGTGACAACAGGAAAACAATTGTTGTTATAAACATTTATATAATGATTTTTAATTTACTACACGGGATGTTACAATTATCACCCTTGATAAAAATATTTTTGTTTAGCTGGGCCCCTTAAGAAAATATGTGTTTCTTTACAAAATATTGATATTGATGGGTTGTAAACAATATTCATAAATTATTTTGTTCATATTTATTTTTATTTACGTTATCTAGTAGAAACACGCTTCTCATAGAATCGGAAGTGAAAAAATATTATTCGTAGATAATCAATTAAGCAATAGCAGTATACAAATTACAAGCCAACTACCTACTACGATTATATTATATAAACCTCTATAGCACTTATATCCGTCAGAGCGGTCAGTTCAAGTTCAGCTTTCGAAATATTAGGGTAGCTATTTCATATCTCTATTATACAATCATAATATACTTGTGTCACAGCCCGTCCAACTTCTACTTACACAATCTCATTATCCAAACATTTCTCAAAAATTAAAAATTACATATAAGTCCTATAATTACATTAATGATACAGCTATAAATATATTTCCTTTAAAGTAAAAGCTTAATATAACTCATTGTTCTATTTTTCTTTTAAAAAATAGATTTAATAATTCTTAATGGTAGTCAATATAAGGCGCCAGGGAACCTCCCCTCTATGAGAGGGCAGTGATGGTCTTACATACATTATTTAAACTATTTTAGACAGCCAATGTAATATATCAACTATAGAAGTACATTGTTTTCGTGCTGAAATTGTTTTTAAAAATAAAACGTTTTATGTTACTTTTGACGTGGGCACACCTATAGCGCTGTCTGATAGAAATAGCTACTTGTGTGATTGGCGCCTATTACCATGTTTCAATAGCAAAATAATTTAACGAAGTGCATGTTTTTTATTATAAAGTGATACATGCCATACGTATAAAATAAACATCCTTTATTTATCATAGAACGACAACCCAAAGAAAATTAATTATATATTAAACGTGGATATTGGATAGTAAAAAAAAAAATACAACATTGGTGGGTGTGAGGGAAACTGATAACAAGATAAAGAGTTCTACAATTGTAAAACCATCGTCGCGCTTTCAACACGGATGCTGATTCAGGGGAGAGGTCGATTAGTTTCAAATTGAATTACAATGTACGTATATATATATATATATATTTTTAAAGAAAATATGTTGTTTCCCTAAATAGAAAGTACATATTAAACTATTAAAGGTCAGTTATATTATGTATTTACTCAATATTTATTTTTCCAAACACGAACGCCCAAATGTGCCATGTGTAACTTAATATACATAATATGATCACAGTGGTAATGGATCACCTGTAGCGACAATGTTGTATAGACACGACTGGTTGTCAGCTCACAAGACTTATGTCGTCGTTAAGAGATTAACCGCAATCCGTGATCGTAATCAATTACATTTCGTGTAAACAAGTACACGAGTAAAAGAAACCAGTTTCAAAATAACGATATTTATAAATGTTGAACTTAACAGTTCAACTTACATTTTAGCACATTGTGAATTAAAATGATAATATTCAGTTTTATAATTTTAATATAAAACTAATAATATATATATTTTGTTGGTAGTACACAAAACATGTACAATATTATTAGACTTCATTATAATATTTGATGCAAATTCATTAGATAGGTATTGTCAGATCACAATAAGAAACGTCGAACCTACAAAAGTTCACAGTTGTAGCCTAAGTTAATTTATTTATTTTAGAAACAAATTATTAAATTTTAGGTCAGTTAAACACAGTGTTTGACAGTAAATTAATGAATAATGATAAATCGTTTATAATCAAAACAAGTTGTTAGTTTTGGTAGTTTACAATGCTTCCTTTTATCAAAATTCAAATGTATTATGTATAATTTAGTTTCTGGCATGCAAAGTACGGGTTGTTCATATTAGTTTTTGCTATTAATATTTATGAAATATAAATATTATAACATTTAAAAGGTTATAATAATAATAATAATTTTGTAGATTTTGTTGTTAATATTTTATTTTATATCTTCTTTTATTGTTCTTATGAACATTCATAGAATATCTTTCATAATTTAATCTGTATTCTGAAATGAGATTATTTTATCTACTTATCTTCATTGAATTGAATTAATTATATTTATGTATTTTAAAGTTAATAAATCAAAGAAAGCTGACAACCATAGTGAATAAAATTATTATATTATGAGGCCTGATCCGATAATAAACTCCTCCCCCAGCCGAACGTCGCGGCGTCTAAGATACCTGTTTCATTCTATGCATTATGTATACACCTAAAGAACCACAGTCTTAAGCTTACGCCTCACTATATTTTTATTAGATTGTGTTTTTTAATTATAATAATTGTATCGTTAATGTGTTATGAATTTTATATTTTCAAAATCATAAAATGTTTCCAATTAAACTAATGTAATGTCAACAAAAACCTTTCAATAACTAAACTGAAACGTTTTTTATTTGATCGAATGGCAACCGAAATAAAAGTATAAGGTATAGTAGTATGTTTTAATTATATTTATACTTTTTTACAAATTTTGATGAGAATATATTATAATATTTTGAAAACGCATTGTCACATATTTTTGTTTTTAGTATAAGTAAGATTACAAATTGTATACTTATTATTATTTTATTATAAAATTCTTAAAAAAAACCTTAACTGATATAAGTTCAGTCTGTGAGCACTTATAGTAGCATTGCTACCGAACTTGCGTATACGTTAAAGTGCATTACTTTTTGTGACTAAGGTTTTCTTAAAAAAATGTATTATTTAATTATTGTTATGTAATATAATCACAAGTGTTTCTCGAGTTTTTTCTAGGTTTTAGTAGTAACTTGTCAATTTGACAGAACAGCTTAAAATTTTTTTTAAAAATTATATCATAGACAAAAATCAATTAATTGTATTGCTATATTGTTGGACTTAGTCCTTAGTAGTCGATTATGTTAGTTCTCTGAGGAAGTCACCGATATTAAATGTAAGCATTATGTTCAGATAGCGTTTGTAATTTTCAATAAGTCGGAACAAATTTTATATAGTCGCATAGTAATTCACCGGAGTTATAAAACGTGTATTCGAATTAATTGTGCTTCAACGAGAAGTCTTATTTTAGATTTGTTACGATGAAATAAGAACTGTGGGGACAGAACAAAACGAAACTCCAGCCAATTATTTCGTATGTTTCATAAAGGCTATTATGTTTATTTGAGCTGGAAAGAAACATCAGTACATTTATCAAAACTTGTGTTTTTCTTAACAAATAGGTACCTACAATGGAGTTCTTATTCAATATATTACTAAATACACGTGACAATGAATTGCGGCTACTGGCTAGATACCACTTTGGCGCTAACATTTAGTTCAATATGCATTTTTTTTCTAGTAAAATACGGTCATCGTTCGATGGGTGTTAACAGTCAGTTTCGACTAGTATCGAGGGAATCGCATATCTGTTGTTGTTTGCCCTCACCCTCCCCGTACAAACTTTGCAAGGACTCCACGGCCATAGCGCGTCCGTTGAATACTTGAATGTATGGGGGATAATTGGATTGAGAAATAATACTGCTAACGACCGGGCCGAAACGTCGTCCAAGAAAACTTTTCGTTGAATAGCTACTGATTTCTTTTGCACGCCTGTCGCTTCGAGTGCCGAACGAGGACTGAGGAGGTCGTGTACAAACATACGTATTCTTCCCAATTCCAATTTCACTCTCCGAAAACGGCCCGGAGGGATTCGTGTGCGAGGCACCGTTATTAAGACGTTATACTATTCTCGCATGTGTGTGCGTGGCTCTGAACAAGGTAAACATTACTCGAAGGCCCACCCCTCGCGTACCACATAACAGTTCCCCCTTAAAAATATACAATATTCTTCTTGCGGTCGGGCGGCATCGCGTCGAGCGCTACCATCCCTCGTCCCCGTCCTCCCGCCCATCGTAACAAACAGGACCGTCGTCGGCCGCGCGGCATCCGACCAAGCCGTCCCCGTCACTACTCTCAGTCAGTACTCGCACGCCGTATCGTCAGCGTTAACTGCTTTGCGCCGGTCATCGACGTCGTGTGTTCCGTCAGTCGTTTCGAATTTCTTGTGTAGTTTTTCTTTCTTTAATTTTAATATTTTCCGATCGTTTTTACGAAAAAAAAAAAAAATCTTTTTTGACGGAGTTTTTTTCTACGACGATTTTTTAATTTTAATTTTATTGTAAAAACTATTATTACCGGAGTTTTTTTTTAATCGTCAAATTTTTAGTTTGGGTTTTTTTTATTCGTGTGATGTTTGAACGAGTGCAGACGATCGGATACCGCGGAGATTTTCTGCAACAGATCACTTAAGGATCAGGTTTGTGACTCGATGGCGGCAGAGGATACGGGCGAACGGCTTGGCCGATCACGGACGTCGGTGGGCCGTTGGGCCGCGGCCGGGGTTCTATGCCTGACGGTCGCGGTATACGCATGGCACGCGCACACCTCGCTGGAGCACCGTGTGACCACGCTGGAGACTATAGTGGCCGGCATGCAGAAGCAGCTGGTCGAATACCAAATGGCATCACAGCCGCTAAGAAGCAAGCGGGACGCGACGTCCGGACAATGTTTGTGCCCTCCCGGTAAGCTCAGCCACCTATACATAACGATAATAATCCATTTTAACGAGCTATTGGAATGCGCTGTAACCTTGAATTGTCGACTGACTGTAGTGACCGCAGTAAATGGTAACTGTGGTATTATAAGTAATAGCATAATATAATATAATATATGCTCAGCGAGGGCAGAATCGAGGTTTAGACAGTCGCGTTTCCCAGATCCCGGTGCAATGACAATCGCGTTTTAACTATTAATCGAATATAGACAAATAGTCAGTAGCTACAAATGACGTTGTTCGGTCGGTTCTCAATTATCGACGACATTAGTTTTGTAAGTTTTGTATGTAGTTAACGCGTGAAAAGTTTCCTCCTCGAATGTCCACAGTGTCGGCCGAGGTAAACAAACGAAAATTACTTACTTGATATTTCCTTCGAATATACATTTTTTAAATATATGTTATTATAATAAGACAACACCGTAGTCTTATTACACCAGCGAGCAATAATGATCTCGGGGAGGAGTTGGAGATTAATGTGCCAGTCCCGTTGAAATTTAATAATAAGGTCGTCCGGCGTGGAGAAACCGCCACCGCTTCAGTGTGATATACTATAATAATAATATTGTAATATATTACACAAACCATTTCCACAGACGTTTGAAGATAAATCGAGTCTGTGTCTTTCGAGTTAACACTCAAAGCGTGCGTAGAAGAGTAGGTTAAGCCGTATTTCGACTTGACTACAATAATATTGTCATAATCACTTGTTATGGTTAATGACAACAAACACAAGAACGTTTGTACAGGCTACGGATTTGGATAAACAAAAACTATAGATTAAGGATGTAACTCATCACTCATCTGTGTACACCGACATTTAGTGTGGTTAGATCGAAAACAATCGATTCCGTTCGTTCCTTATCCGACAAAGGTACTTTTTCCATTCTTAATACGCTCGTCTGTTTCTTATTCGATTAAAATTGTAAACTGGAACCGAAACAATTCTGATCATTATCAGAAATTTCTAGTCAATATTATGTTTATACCGTGTACTGTGCAAACATTAACAATCCTATGGCAATTCACTAAAACCTTTTTCTAGTTTTCTACATAAAGGTTGTAGCAATGGTCTTCTGTCTTAGCAAAAAGTCAATCACTGCGTCGCCGCGACCTTCTTGTCGGACTTAACAAAATATAGGATGCTGGCTTGAAATATTTACACGGTTAGCGAAGTAATCTCGTTCAGTATTTATATATGTTGGCCGTGATAGGTACTGGCTATTTCTCGGGACCGTTGGATATTGACGACTGAGCTTTGGGTGTGAATCGTATATAATCGTTGGACGGAGTTGGTTATTGGTTGGCCGCCAAAAAAAAGGGTGATTTTTCGGTGGAAGATCGCACGCGGTTCGATACGTGTAATAATATACGGGATGCAAATCGGTAAAAAGTCTCCAATAGGATTTTGGCAAATACCCTCGGGTTCAGTATTTTGATTAATGATCGACCCTTGCGTCGGCCTAAGGTTTATGGCCCGTGAAAGACACGGCAACAACTCGGCCCCCGGTTTTTTTTCATATTGTCATACAAACATAATAACGTTGTGTACAATATAGTAGGCACGTTTTTTTTATTTTATATAAACTCGACCCGCACAGTAATAATACTTTATGATACACTCTGAAAAACCAATATTGCAAACCGGTCCACGACAAAACGCCTCACTCGTGTTCGATCACACGCGCCTCCCTCGTTAATACGTTATGTGTGTACGGTTGTTTGTTGTCAAACACTATGTGCTCTGTGGATGTGTGCACTCCTCTCCTTTTATTTTTTTATTCATTGCCGTCCCACCCCATCGTTACACACCTATCCGCGTTTATAATAGTATAATATTATGCGTATACAACCGCACTCGCCCTTGTGATGTCTGACAATAGACGCATAGAATTGGCGGCGGCATCTGGTACCTTTGGCATATAAAATAACCATGTGTGACTCTGCCGGAAATCCAAACTGTTTTCGCCAAAACTCGAACTAGAACGTTAACGTTATATCGCATTGATGTCTTGTTTTTACTCCACCACGTTATCAATATTATTTGTTATGGTTTGCACGACAAGGAAATATTATAATACCCCCCGCTTCTGCAAGGTTTTTTTTATTTTTCATTATGTTTGCCTCGGGGCCTGAGATTTCACATGTTTTTTAACTGTGTTTCAAGTCTCGGAAATTGAAATAAAATAATTTACAATGTAAACTAACAATCGACTCTTGTGTTTATTAATTCCAGTGGCAAATTGCTGTATGAAACCTCGGGCTATTGTCTCCGTGGCGTACAATACGCCTCTGTGATTATTATTGTTTGTCTATATGAAAATTACTCTACAGTCTATAAGCTACTATAATATGCTAAAATTCATATATTCTGATTTTGACAAGTTTATTGGGAAAATAATCGTTTTGAACACACGATAAATGATAAAACACTGTATTAAAAAACATATCAAATAATATAAATAAGTAGTTGCGTTGCGTGTTTGTAACCTTACCTAATCCGCAGGGTTAGGATTTGCATTTACGTACAAAACGAATATGTACATACTAATTAACCTATACTTACGTCAAGTATATTGGGTTTACAGTTCAAAGTAATTTGTTTCATTTTATGCCATGTGAACAATTTTCAAACATCTCTTATCAATTATTCAACGCATACGGTATATCGCCGAGAAAGATCAAGACAACTTTTTCTTCTGGTATGACGTCAAATTCATACCTAATTAGATGTTTCTTACTCATAAACCTTTAATGATTGCAAAATAAAACACTATGCGGGTAGTCGTTAGTGAAGAAGAGCGTCGTTGTGTGTGAGTATACAAACGGTCGTCGTGTATCGTGTAATGGTTTTTAATCGGATTACAAGGAGCGTCGAAGTAGATATTATAAACGTTTAAATGTGTACAATAGAAATCGGGTTAGTTTTTATAACGGGATGTTTTTAAACAGCTTAAGCGTTACAGAACATTCTCTTGGATTAAACGCACGGACCACGGTATAGAAGAAAGAAAAATGTTACTATTGTAATTTATCAAATTGCACAAAGAAATTTTCTATATTTAAGACCGTGTTGTCTTGCCCACATTTTCTACCCCGATTGAACAGATACTAAAGATATCAGAAGCGTCTCAAGTATAGCCCATGTAGTAGGGTTCATCGCTGCTCTATCTTGACTCTTAGGAGAAGGTATCCTAACGAATTCGCTATAAGGAACCGTCGCTTGAGAAAGTATAAAAGTCATAAGCATTTTTTTTACAAAATCTTAATTTAAAGGCTAAACTGTGATGTGTCATTATTAGCTCAATAACTAGGACTCTATTTTGGTAGTTAATTTATTTTTTGGACTATCATTACTATCCTTGAAAATTATTTTAAAATGTTTTTTCATTTCTACATGTTTAAGCAGACTTAAAATAACTCTTAGCTTAATTTTGGTTTTCGAGTAAAAGTTTCCATTATAAAATTAAAAGAGAACAATATTCCGGAGGGCAAGACGGTGCGTTTTTTTATTATTCCAAGTTTAACACGCTCGATACATAGTTTAGAAATAACGACTATTTTAACATTTTTAAATGACTGTAACTTTTCAAAAAATGATTTTTTAAAAAAAAAACACACCGTCGTCTTGCTCTCCGGAATATGGTTTTCTTTTAATTCTATAATGAGTACTTTTACACCTAAACCAAGATTAAGCGAGTTATTTTCAGTTGGCGAAAACATATTTTTAACACTGAAAATCACCGGTGCGACGCCCTCTTAATAATAGATCCACGATCAAAATATCGGTTTTCCAGGAGTTTGCCCTAGAACGTCGTTGAATAATTTTCCCTGACTAAAACTTATCTTGTTGCGTATTAGTATTTATACAACTCACTACTATATTGTTCTACTAATTGCTCGATGTCGTACCTGATTAGTAGCAGGTAGTTTTTCAGGAGTAAAGTTAATTTAATTAATTTACTGTAGCGTGTTGTTTACTTTGCATTTGCTCGGACGTTAATGGGAAATAACGCCAATCCATTTTACTGAATAACGGATGACACTCTAATTAAAATATTAATTTATGACAAAGCCTGAAGATTGGATTTGTTTAAGCATTATCATATTGTTTTAGGACCTCGAGTACGATGATATTGTATTGGTGAATTTTAAATTTGTATAAATGTATTTATACGGCCAGTTTTACAAGTAATTTCTATTCATAAATAGTTAGTATTGTATCGACAGATCTTCAATAAACGTGTTGTAAACTAAAATACGTGCGCTCTGGCTTCGTAACCGGAAAAACCGAGTTAAATATCCGTTAAGGGACACATAATTGGTCCGTTTCGAGTCATCCTACTAGCAAATTGTATGCAATGTGCAAAATAATTAAAAACCCTTTCGAACGCATATACACATGTAACAACAAAGAATACTAGCCAGTAGTCGTTATTGATTTTATTAGTAGAGCGGTTGTTAGAAAATGGATACGTTAGGTACGCTACAGTAAGTCTTGGAATGCTGGCCGATTTACTGTAAATCGTCTTTAGTACCTACACTACAACATGGTCTTTGGCATTTTATTGGACATACACAACTATAGTATAGGTGACGACTTTGTAACTATATGTATTTTATTTCTTATTTTCATATTCTATGACGCCTCGAGCAGCATCTTGATTATTATTGTTATATTATTTTCCACCCATTGTTAGTTGTTAGTGTTGTGTTATAACACTGTAACCGGCGTTAGAAGGTTAAAGTGAAAAACGGTGTTTCTTATGTTGTCTGATCTTGCATGTTCTAATAAACTGTTGTGTTGATTGATAAATTGGCAAAAAGCCTAAGAAGCCACCAAAAGGTTGTGACATATCATGTGTGGATATGTATACGGTTGTACGTTAAAAAAGGTTTTTTTTTATCTCGAATATATTATAATGTAACATACTCCACGTCGATGATGGAATTTGGAAAAGCACTTGA